TTCTGACTAAAATTAGAATACTCTAAAAGGGTATAATAAATGTATATATTTTTAATCTTAAAAAATGTCCCTAAATTCCCCTTAACAACTTTTAAAAGTTTTGATAAAATAGTTTCAAAAACATTTTCATTCCATTCTTGCATATTTTCTTTGCCCAAAGAAGTTTCATGTATATTTTCCTTTAATTATGTTATTTTTTCTGTATGATTTTTCCGTTGTCTGATTTATTTTTGTAGAGATCATAAAAGGGGCTCTGGCTCAAGTCGTCTGCTTTAAAAATCAATAAAACTCATAGCCCAAAGTGTTATTTTAGTTTTCCCCCCCTCCACTACCCAGCTGAAGAAAAACAAAAGTCCATAAAATAGTTGTGAAGAGTTCCGCCCACGGGTTCAGATCGTAGTCGCCGCCGGAAGTAAAGTGGCCTGTAATTCAAGAAGACGCCCTCGAGAGGGACTAACAATTTTGCCAAAAAAACAAGAAGGATGCGCCCAAGGATTAGTAATTAAAAATTCCAAAACATAATTCGAAGGTTCAGAGATTCGGACTCCGTGTCGGGGATTCGGGGCACGTGCACTCCATGCTAATGGGCACTCGAGAAAAATCCACAACGGAAATGCCAAAGACAAAGGGAGACATTACCAAAAACACACATCGAGTGGCGAGAAAGGGATGTGATCAGGAAGTGAAAGCAGGGAAGAGGACTCTCTTTCTCCCTACCTGAGGAAAGAAGAAAATATATAGGGAAAAGAGGGGAGGGAGGACACCTCTAGAGGTGTCAGAGATGCAATCAGAAATCAAATAAACACTTTTATGATCTTGGTTTTATGGCCCGTTGTGTGTTATGTTGTGTTTGTTGTCTTGTATTTGTCGTTATTGCGGTTGACATGATCGAAATGCTGCCGGCGAGGGCGTTGGACGTCTTAACCCATTGTTGCCAAATACCAAAAATATGCTATTTATAAGTCCTGTCCCAAAAGGTGTTTGGAAATGCATAAAATGCGCTCCGCGTTCATAAATCCCCGCGAGCTGTTGTTGCCACAGCCGTGTAGTAGAATCTATATAGCCGACATCTGTTCAACAGATTTCAATTCGATGCCAAACTCGGCGGGACCCGTCAGTCTTCCACCAACTTCTTTGGCTCTGGACAACGGCAAATGTTTAATTATTTTCTTAATGGAAACTCGCACCGAGCACATGACAACGTTGTTGTCTTCCGTGAAAAACAAAAAACCACCGAGAACTCCAGGGACCCAAAAAACAAGGGAAAAAACGAAAAAATCGGAGTCTACACTTTGGGAAAAAATGAGAACTTAAAACTTAGAAAATGAAAGGAAAAACTAGGTACAAGTTAAGCTAAAAATGTTGTTACTTGAATCTAGAATTAAAATGCTAATTTGAATATATATTTCACTACTATTTCACTATTACTTAACCTAGCTTTACATTAAGATATTTTAAATAATGTAAAGTACATTTTCTCTCTGTGCACCATCCCCGTGCCAAGTCCCTGATGCATTTGCATCCCCTGCTCCCCCATGGAGCACGTGTCTTCTTTGGTTTTTACCTACTTTTAAGCAAGAGGAAGGAATAAATTTATCCAAGGGCATCTTTCTGCGCAGTTGCTCCAAGCCATCCAAGTCATCCCAAGTCAGGGTGAATGATTCTCTCGGAGATTACACCAACCTCATGGGGTCCATTGTGGTGCTAGCCACAGGTTGATGTTAAATGTCAATTGGCATTCTCTAGAGGATCAGTGGAGCATTAATTACGCCATCGCATTCCACTCTAGAGATAGAAGCGGAGATCCCCCTAAATGTGATTCCTCTGATTGCCAGAAAGTATCTCCGATGACGTTTATAATGATGTTGTTGATCTTGTAACGCTTTGCACTTAGCATCATTTTATTTTCTTCTTTATTTTTTAGGCAGCAGCCCCCAAAGAAAATCAAATTTTGATTTATTTCACTGAGACCGCACTTGTAATAGGAGATCTTCGAGGGGACTAAGACACACACTTGAGGAGAGTCAGGGAACTTATTGTGTAGCATTACAGAGTTTATATTTCATTTACGAGTAATATTTTTGTAACTTCTTTTAAAACTTCACACTCTTTATAATATACAAACTTTCTAATTGAAATCCTTTAATCACAAGCACTTCCTCAAACCTGTCGACATAAATTTTCATTGTTAACTTGAGGAATTAGGAAAATGTTTCGTTGCGGAGACACAATCCTACTTTCTACCCACTCACAGAGTCTCGTCATGCATCTTTGACTTTCCCCTTATGGAATTTTTGATCAAGATTCCATATAACCCAACCGACCGAGGACTACTTACAAATGTTCCCTAAGATATATTCCCTATTCTCCCGGCTAGACCAAACTCCCACTCACCTTGGCTCCCGGGGTACTCAGCACTCCTGTTTCTGGTATGATTATGAGGTGTGTAATTAAAATTTTTACGCTCTTGTCTTGGGGCATGTAATTCAATTATGAAGAATCATTTGTAGCAGATGAATGTCTGGCGACATCTAATGTCTAATGTATTCTGGCTTATTTTTAGCAGCGAATATATAGGAGTCTGTGCTTGTTTTTTTGCTTCTCATTTTCTTTGCTGGCAAACTTGTACCAATAAGTGATTCGCAGAAGAAATTGAGCCGTAAAATAATCAACAACTGCCGCACAGTTGCTGCTGGTTTTCACAATTAAGCACATGACATGGGAATTTGCGTAAACAATTTACTATATCTTTCTTTATGTATATATAGATGGATGTGCCCAAGTGACGTCGTCTCTGGCAATGAGAGACACTATGGAGCAATCAATTGTATCCCTGGTCCACTTTTTCCCCATCTTAAAAGCCATCTCTTTATCTCAATATCTTGCCAGACAAGATGAGAGAGAAAAGAGGAATGTTGGCGAAACAAAAGGCAAATTCCCCAGACAAGTGAAAATTAATTTGCGTAAATATTTATGAAGAGTATAATTGGTATTTTAGGTGTGCCTGCTTTACAGCAGAACAAGGTATTGATCATCGCGATTGAACGAACTGAGTCATTATTATTGTAAAATACGTGAAACATTTATGGCATATGAATTTTCAATTGCTTGCGTCAAGGACTATGACGTAGAAAAACTGATCAGTTTATGAGATATATATTGTAGCTGTCTTAGGAATAAGTGAGGCAGAAAATGCCATAAGTTATTATACATATTTAAAGGCATAAGAAAGAGTATAGCTTGTTTGTAGATAGTTTTAAATGATGGATTAAACTCCCTTTCAAATTCCTCAATACAGTCAATGAACTGATTACAAGTTGGACTTAGTCTCACTCCTCCTCGGCCTGTCAATACTGAATGAATGAATGGGAAATTCTAAAGAGTTGTGATCATAAAAATCACCCTAAACAGAGTATAAACAGCCAGCACTCCACACGCAATGAGTGCAATTAAAAATCGCAAATAAGCCAGCGAATGGTTGAATGAATGAATGAATGGACCAAATTCAATGCAGATTTAATGAATGATTTACATAGACGGCAGCGACAAAAACTATTTATAAGAAGAGTGCTCCTATCTATATAGTAGATGCGGGCAGCAGACCGCGAAGGGAGGGCAGGGCAAATCGACTTTGTTTATTTTCTATATTTCTCTGTCTGTCCCTTTTTTGGATGCTGGGAGTTTGTGTTTTGTATTTTAATTGCGCCATTTCCCATATCAGCTGCCTGATTATTTGTTCTAGTTAACAGACATGGACATAAATAAAACTAACAAAAAGAAAAGAGAGAAAGGAAAGCCCTGGAAACTAGGGGGGATGAGAGATGCTGCAGATCTCAAAATTTGACTAATTAGAAGGCCTGACTGGTTGTCCGACATTTGATTTGTTATTTATTAAGATCTATAAGGAAAACAAATATTATTAGAGAGGTTAAAGAAACCAATTAGGTATTAACAGTATTACTTTTAACATTCCCTTTTCAAGGTATAAAACATTAATATAGTATTCATATTTTAATCTAGGATAATAGATATACAAATAATTGAAATGTTTACCTCTTTATCTATAAAAAGATATTATATCTCTTTTCCAAATACAACATTCCCATCATCTTTATCATTATTATAATGCCTCGACTCACAAATTGACTGATGACCTGACCGCCACCCTCGCTGAATATCTAATGGATACACAGATACTCAGATACAGATACACTTATTCCCAGACGAATCCCTGGGAAAAGATCGCACTTTGCCGATTTTAGGTGGGCCAAAGTGGAGTCAAAGTCGAGTCGTAGCTATAGTAGCCCCCGGACTTACAAGATCTTGGCCCCGCCTCCGACCGATTGCTGTTTGTTCGGATTTGGTGTCTTTGGAGACAACCTTAAGTGGATTGCTCCAGTTCAGTGCTGGGGCCCCGTACTAATCGTTCAATCCGTAAGATAAATGCGTTGGCGTTCTGGGAAATTGCCAATGCGTGATGTGTGTGTAAGTGCGAGTATCTCTCGGTACACTCGGTCCACTTTCACAGTAGTTTCGTGGGCCGATCATGATCATTAGGAGAATGCCTGAGTAGAACTCCGCCTCCTTCTATTCCAGACTTAAGCGATCCCCATGCAACTTGATTCGGTGTCAAGTGAGCTCGGGGCGTGAACGAGTTTGTCATGTTTATGTCGTGTTCTGGCCATGCAACCCGGTTAAGGGGATGCAACACAATCGATCTACCGAAAGTAAAACCCTTGTCTTTTGGAGCGTGGACAACCAGATTTTGGTGTTAATTACTTTGGGAATTTCAAAAGAAAATACGAGAAATAATTGAGATACTATAAGGAAGATACCTAGTATAGAAAAGTTCAGAAAAATATTCAACTTCTCAAACTCTTAGGATCTTACATCTATTTTCATATTTATATTAAATATTCAAGTTTATTTCCCACATTTCCCAGAGCATAAATCTTTGATGACATTTTTTACGAGCTTTCAATTATTGTTTGAGTACTCACCCACAGACATATTGGTTTTTCTTCCTTATGATAATTGCTGCGGGAAACTCTAAACTCGCTTTTCTCGGGGTTTCCTCACTCCACAAAACGCTTCTTCGATTTTTGGGAAGTTACTTCACCTGCCAATGGCCTATGGCTTTGCACTTGTTATGGCCCGTTAAGGCGCTTCCGGCGGATACGTCAAAGTTTTTGGACACATGTGTATATAGAAACGAGACCTGCGAACCATAGAAGATAGATAGGGAGGCACAACGATTAATATTAAACAAATTTATTTAATTAAATATGCGCATGGCAAAGCACGCCAGGCAGCATAAATATGGAGGGGACAAGGGGAATTAGGAAAATTAAAACTAAAGTACAGAATGGAAAAGCAAAGAACGGTTTTCAAAGCGGAAGCAGCAAGTTTTCCGATTTTCCCTTTACCCAACCGAAAATCACGCCCGGAAATGCAGAGCGAGGACAGAAAAAATTTTATTAATATTTTTAGAGAGATGCACTGGCAGAGCTTCGGCTTTTGTTTAGGATTTTAGTGCTGCGGTGCTGCCATTTAACAACTTCCTTTCGGCCCAGTTTAAAGTGTGTGGTGCTGACCACAAAACCGCAATTAGTCCATTAAATTATTAAGTACAAGGGCCATAAAATCCAGCCACAAACTCAGGCATGCAGGCAATTTGTACTTGGCTCCCTAGTTGGGAGTCGTCGCTCCGAAATGCCAGAGAGATATTTTTATTGGCATATTTCTTTTTATTATTTATAAGTCAATTCACATTCGCGCTGCATATTGATTTTGATTCTGGTTTTCCGATTTGGTGCGAGAAACTCGGCCCCCCGCCCCTGAATCCCCTTTAAATCAATACATCAACACTCGAACATTTTACGCGTCTCTTCGCTGTTTTATATATATAAATAAAACTGTGTATTCGAATCGAATTTGTGTCGAAACCTTGATGAAAAAGTTTTGATTTTATGGCCAGGCAATTGTATTAAAGAATTCTTTCGTTTGTTTCCCTTGATTTTGTGCCGAACAGCAGTTGTGATTGCGCAAATAAGAAATATTCGTTGATATGATGTCCGTTTTCACATAGTCCATAAATTATGGTATTTCTTTGTTCACAGACTTTTATTTTTCTAACAGTTAATAATGTTTTTCAAGCCTACACATGAGTTTCTCAATTTTTGAAAGCAGTTTTGGAACATTTTAAGAAATTTTCCATTTATTACAACATATTATAGGTTGAATAAAATAAATTGCTAAGGTAAATAACATATTTATATGGGAATTTGAGAATATATTTTCAATATGTGAGAAGAAAACCACAGAACTGAAAGTGTGCTTTTGGTATATATATCCCGCACTGTATTGTTTACAACAATGTAACCCAATTGAAATTCTTGGAAGTGTTCATCGTCGAACCAGAAAATAGTTTCTAAACTTTTCGTTTTTGTTTACTCACGAACATCTAAATATAGTGAATAATATTGGGGGAGTATAATTTGTATAATTTGTACGGTGGATGACATTGAAAATATTCCATATTAGATGCATTTTACAAGCGATTAAAGACGAAATTATTGAGTACATAAGTCGTTAAAAAAAGCTCATAAAAGGTTTGAAAAGCAGAATCCCAGAGAACTGAGAATTGAGAATCGAGAAAAGCAATTAAAGCTACAAGGGAATGGGGTTGGGATCGGGATTGGGGCAGATGCCACTGCTCTGCCTTCGTTTAAGACGATTATTTCATTTAAGATGGTGACATTCATTTGCATATCAATGTGCGAGTGCCATTCCCCTCGGGGGCATCCCCCACATTTATTCCGACTTCGCCTGTATGTGTTTTCGGCTTGATTGCTACGATTTTCATTACGTTTTACCGGATATTCCAATTTAGGTAAATGCGACGTTGCCAGCAGAAGCAGCAGCAGCAGCAGCAGCAGCAACATCACCAGCAACATCGACATCAGTCCGAGCATAAAGCGGGATTAATGTGCCCCTGGCGACATCCATCAGCCCAAAACAAAACAAAAAAAAAACAAAAATAATAATAAAATACCCAAGATCAAGTGGAGCAGAGTCATCCAGGCATACTGGGGATAGCTCTGCCCCAGACTTCCCATTAAAATTATACCCCAAAATACCTATCTGTATCACCTGTCGGCGAATTCACGTGAAATTTCTATTGTTTCTATTCGCATTTAGTAATTAATTACTAGCACTTGCTCTGGAGTAAATAAAGATTTAAGTGAATTTCGGCTGGCAAAGTCATGTTGCAAGTTTCTATTAATAGTGAATGGATTTCTATAAATATATGACTATGATTTCAGTCCAAAGATTATTTGGAATATCCTATAGGAGATTATCAAGGGACTTTTAAGATTAAAAACTTTTTAAAAATGTTTCGTTAAACAAATATTACTAAAAACAATTACTTTTAAGAGTTCCTAAATTATAAAAAATTATTGAGAAATTATTTTAAAAATATTAAGGTATTATAAATTTACAAAAATGACTTTTAAATTATAGAAAAGCCCTTTGAATTGGTACACGGTGCGTATACGTTATCAATTATCTGTACAATTTTATTCTTAAGACCTTGGATAAGATTGTAGTAATATCTTTTTTTAGTACTTAGGAATTTTAAATATATATAGAGATAATGAAATAAATTACTTTCACAAAGGTTTTCAGAAATGAATCAATAGTTCCACAAACTTTAATGTCTTGCATGACTTTCCTTGCATAATTAAATATAAAATAACTTTCAGCTTTGTACAGTCAGCTTCTGAACAGATTTCATGGTTTATTGAAATGATATATTATATATTAAATTCAGCACGTATGATTCGCTTCAATCGGCGCACTTACAGCTCGAAAAACACGGAGGAAAACGCGAGAATCGACAATCGATGCGATTCGGAAGATTGACGATATGCCAGCGGGCAATTTACAAGATCGTTTGAAAAAGAGTTTTGCAACTGGGCGCCGCGCACGCTGCCGAATTCAATCGCAATCGAATAAATCAATTGAAGCGTCGCCGCTCGCTTTTGGGCTCTTCGAATTTGTCAAACGGCCAATAAAGAAATACAAAAAAATTAAGTTATTCAAAAATTGAAATCGCCGCTGGCCGTCGCGTCGCGTCGCGTCGCCTCGCGATGCCAATAAAATTTATAATAAATATGCCCCCTACTACATACGTCAGCGAGGCAAAGAGAGAAGGCAATTTATTTGTGCAACAATAACAACAGAGAGATCGTTTGTAAACAATTAAAATAATTTGCTGGACGACCAAAACAACAACAGAAAATTTCAATTAGAAAAGAGAGAGAGAGAAAACGTAGCTGAAGAGCGGCAAAAAACATAGTCAAAGAGCTGGCAAAGAGAGGCGGGAAAAGCTCACTCAATTCTATTTAATTTATTTATAAAAAGAGCAAATTCTTCAAGTGAATTCTTCGCATCGCCAGAGTTTAAATAGATATATACATATATATTCACGAAACTAGAGCAAATTTCAAGCCAAGGAGGGCGCAGCTGGGGAAAATGTAGCACAGCAAACAGCTGATGCGAAAATGGGAGACAGGCGAGAAAATGGAGGGATGTGGTGGAGAGACCAAAACACGTATACGCAATGTTGTACAACGAAAAACATTTCCATTTTCCACCCACACATCCATTGCATTTTCAACGTGAAAATAGACTTTTTTTGTTTTGTTTTTATTTGGAACAACTCATTTTCGCTAAAATTAATATTAATCATGTTTGCTGTGGCAAAAGACTTGTTTTATTTGGACTATGAGTCGTAATTTTCTCGAGAAATTCACAGATTTCAAATTGTTTTTAAATTGCAATGTTTAATTTTAGATAATGAATTATTGTATATTTCAAAATGTTGTTGATTGATGAATGAATAAAAGATATTGTGCATCTTAAAGGTATCAGAAATATATTAAAATTTGTATATTTTAAATTTGTACACAAAATTGACAAGGAAATTACTTAAACACAAGTTAAGGAAAGTAAACTGAATTCGGGTGTTTGAAGTTCATATTAAGTTTGCAGTTTTCAATTGAATAAAAGGATTAAATTCCAAATCGTTTATAACTAAGCCTAGAAATATGAACATTTTTTCGATAAATCAATGTTATAAAATTTTCATAGCTAAGTCAAAAATGCATTAATTTTATTTCGGAAAGCTGTCTTATGTTAGTTTTTATTAGGTTAATAAATATGCATACTAAATTTAATATTTAAAAAAAATTCAAATTTTTATAAATTTTTCAAAATTTTAACGATGTAACCCCTTATAAAATTTTTAAATTTTGAAAAAATTTCGAAAATTTATTTTTTGACCAGACATGGCTAGATCGATTCGGCTGTTAAGTCTGATCAAGAATATATATACAATTTATAGGGTCGGAAATGATTCCTTCACTGCGTTTTAAGCTTTTGACTAAAATTAGAATACTCTGCAAGGGTATAAAAGAAGAATATTTGAATTTTTTCCTGTGCACCGTAAAAACCTGTATAAACTTTCGCTGTCTTAAAATTCTGAAACGTGCTGTATATTTTCACAAAATTCCCAGGAATCTTGGGTGCTGTCTGCCATTTTGATGGATTTCACTCTGACATTTCTCGTGCTCGCAATGTTCGATGCGCTTTTTTCGTCATTTTTAACATTTTGCGACGGGTCTTTTATTTCATGCGGTTTTCCGCTTATCGCGATCAGCCAACCGAGCGAATTTGTGCCAAAAAAATAAATATGCGATATGTGGGTGCACCACAGCGGGCAACAGAAGCCGCCAAACAGGAGCCACCGAAGCCACCACCGAAACCACCAGAAAATGCGACTCGATGGCGCTGGCACGCACGTTTTACGAGCTTCGCCTTTTTGGCCACTTACATGAGTTAAATAAAATAAAATAAGTACAAAGTTGTCGATGAGATCATTAAACTGATTAGGTTTTTATGACAATGAATATGGCCAACAATTAAAATTTAGTTCAATTGCTTTTCATTTGTCAGTGGTCTGTCGTCGGCACATCACTCGCAACCTGTTGTTGATAGTACACTTGGTATTGTTGTGTCATTTGCATTCGGATAGTGCAACAAGCTTTGAAACTATTTTCCCCCACATATTTTCCCCTCGACCGATTTTATTGGCCTTCCCTACCTACCTCCCTCCCTCCCTCAATAGAAACATCTGGGCCTGGTTTGTGGCTTTGGCATGTTTTGTTCTGCTGCTCAGGTGCTGGCGAATAGTCAAATTAATGGCATTTGCCTGAAAGGAATGCAAACAGATGGCACAAATGGGCAATGCAAATGAGTCAATGATAAGCGTAAGCAGGCTAAGAATTTGGCACAGAGAAAGTCAGGTGTTAAAGTTGGTCTAAAAGTAATAGCAACATTAGAACTAGAAGTAGAGAATATTGAATAGTTTAGCCTTAATAATGAAGAAATAAAGATCTTCCTCTATTTTAAAATATAACCAATTTTAAATAAGATTGGGCATAAGATTGGGTTTATCCATATTTAAGTCACAACAAAATATCTTTTAAAAAAAGGACTAAAGCATTTTAAATATGCCTGTCTGATAGCCCCTTTTTTTATCTTTTTACAAAATTAAAATAGATACAAACTACCTACTAACCATTTAAAATGAACACTTAAAACAAAATGTATGATCTTTTCAGAAACAAGTTATATATCCCTTCCAAACTTAGTTCCTCAAGAATCAAATTAATTTAACAAAAATTAACTCTCCCGTCACATATGTAAAATCGTAAAAAACTCCAATTGATTTTGCATAAATTCCTTCTAAAAATAACTCAAAATTTATGCACGCACAAGGTTCACACCGAGATGACGGATTATCTCACGGATAACTCCCGACCCATAAAAAAGGTGACTTTATATATTCCAGAGAGTCGTGTGCCAAGCGATACAATAAACCGATCCAATAACTTATGGGATGGAAACCGAAACACAAAGTGAGCTATGAAATAAAAGCAGTGAAATGCAATAAAATTAAATCTATGCAACAACACACAGAGAGGTATGCCCAGTATGTCTGTGTGTGTGTGCCCAAGTATCTGTGGGGGAGTGTGTGCGGAATATTAATTAAAGTTTCGAGCTTTGATTTCTTCAAAACGACTGGGAGGCAGGCGGACAAGTGTTTTGCGTTGTAAAAACAAGCGAAAGCAAAACACCAGACCCTCAACGAGAAGAATAATCTATGCACTGAAGAAAAAGGTTTAAGGAATTATAAAATGTTGTTAACTGTGCAGAATGTATAAAAAAATTCTACTAAAAGGAGAAATGGTTTTATTTGTTCTTAAAGAATTAAAGCAACTAGTAAACTTTAATAAGCGAAATTCATTTAATTATTTTTATTTCCAAAGTCACCATAAATATTTTCTCTCTGTGCTTGGAACATAAGTGATGAAAACAGAAATTCAAATTCGAATTAAACGCATTCCATTCCAGGGAAGAGCGGGAATGCAAAGAGATCAGCAGGGAGATTAACATGGTGGCTGGAAGTGGGCAAGGGGTGGGGGGAAGTACTACTGGAAGATTGCATAAATGGCAACCATTTGCAACAGCATTTAGCACTGCGCAAGTGTGTGAGTGTGAGCCTGGTGTGAGGAGACCTCTTTTGCATTTAAGACACGCATCTTGCATATTTCGCCTTGATGTTGATCGACAGTTTGACATTTTATGTCGTCGCCGCCTGTCAAAAGAACGGCGGTTACTTTTTTGTTTTCCTTGCATTTTTCGATTTTTTGTGCACTGTTTTTCGCCCTTTTTTTGCCCCGCATCCAAAACTCACCCACTGTGACCGCTAGATGGCGCACTGATGATTGTGTTGATTGTTTTCCTTTTGTCCAGAGCACCACGGCATACATATGCACACATAAACACACACACACGCGGGGGTATAGAAACGCAATGGTAAACAAATTCAGAATTCCAGTTCGGGTAGAAGTTTTCCAATTTTTCCGGCGTATTTTCGGGCAGGCTATAGCCAACCGATCCGTGCCACGATCCGAATCCGATCCACGCCAAAACGAAAATTAAATAGCCGCCGTTGCTCGTTTGCTGCTTGGCTGCGCGCTGCCCAGCGGGCGAACATCGAACGGCTGAGCAAAAAGAGAGGAGGATCGGATCCAAAGCCAAAGCACACAGAGTAATAAAATAAAAGCAGAGCAACGCCGCAGCCAAAACAACAACAAATGTTTGGCGCGCTTTGGCGTTCGTTTGCATATGCCTGCGTGTGTGCGTGCTCTTAAGCGAAAGAGAAAAAAACAAATAAAAGAGAGTATTGTGCGTGGGTGAAAGCATGTGGGTGGAGGAGTAGAAGATCTGAGCATAAATACCGTTATAGAACACTGTTAACCATTTACGTATACGTAATATGGTTAGAGTTTGCGTTAAGTATACGTCAAGTATACTATTATTATTGAACTTAAGAAAAATAAACATTAAACATATAATACATTAAATTAAAATATTCCTTTTAGAGGTATTCGCAAGTTGTATTCACTGTATTATTTTCCCACTTCTAAACTCCTAAGATTTGAAAAGCCAATACTCTCCCCCAAGAAAACACCTGAACAAACCTTGATCTTAAGTTTTGTTTCTTTTTATAAATATTTTTGAACTTATAAGACTATGATTTAGTCACATTTGCTCAGTCTTCTGAAGAGTTCATACCCAAAATGATATCTCCGAAATATATTCTGCTGTTTCTGGCCCTATTTTACTTCCTGGATGGCGTTTCGTCGGTTACTTGCGATGTGGAACCCACAAATACCTCCTGCATCGACTGCCGAATATATCCTACGCATATTGAGTGTTTACACAAGCTTTTCACTCCAGTAACAACAACTGCTCCGCTGACTGTGACCACAACCAGAAGATCACGCATTGGGCGATTTCGCAGCTTTTTCGGCAACTTTATAACGCGAATGAGGAATAAAAGTTGGTTTTAAGAAAGGAAAGAAATAAATCAACTATTCTATTCGATATCAGAATGAAGAATATAAAAAATATACATTTTTAAAATTGGTAAATAAATATTAATATTTGTTTTATCAAACGTGAAATGAATCTCGGATTTAAATTGTATTTTAATTCCCTTTCAGGGTATTATAATTTTAGTCAAAAGGGTTTTATGATATGATGGAATCATTTTCGACCCATATATTCTTGATCAGCATCAATAGGTGAATCTTTCTACTGTCATGGGTTACATCGGTAAAATTATCAAAAATCTTGAAAAATTTCAGTTTTTAATTGAATGTGCAGATTTGTTAAAATAACAGAAACTAACATAGGACTGCTTTCCGAATTAAAATGGATTAAAATTATTAGATTTTAGACATAATTATGAGTGTTTTAAACTGTGATTTGTTGGAAAAAGTTGTTGTATAAAAAGTAAAGAAACTTAGCCATCCTGAAGTTGGCTTCCTTTCTTGTTGTACTTAAATCATCTTAACAAACATTATGAAATAGATCTATTATATAAAAAAAATGTAAAAATTGCTATATTGTGACCAGAAAAATTCGCCTAGAAGTATGCAGTGACTTTTGTAATCCCATAAATTTCCTCTGACCAATTCAAGCTTAAAGAATTCATACAAGTTTGATTTTAGTTTGTGTGTTTTATTTGACATTTTCAATTCAAGATTTATGATTAGCCCGATCTGTTAACCTTTATTGTTCGCTTGGATTTGAACTGAAAGTTCTTAAGCGTGACCTTCTTCTTGTTGCCCGCTTTCTTTGTGGTGGCGGCAGCAACGGGAGCCACTGTGGTGGAGGTGGTGGTAGGAGCCACCGTCGAAGTGGTTGTTGAGGTCGTCGTGGTGCAGTCTATGGAATTGGTGGTGTCAGTGGAGCAGTCGATGCAGTCGGGGTCCGTGGGATCGTCTTCACAGGTGACGGCAAGGACGCCACTCAGGCAGCAGGAAATGGCCGCGATCAGGATGAGATACTTAGATGCCAACATGATGAAGTCTGTTGTCCAATTTACAATATGTCTTTCCCTAACATTGCGAGCCTTATTTATACAAATTCTTAGGCCCGACGGAAATTTAACTTGTTTTATCAGTTGTTACGATTTTTGCGAGTGCGAAAATTGGCAATTGATGCTGATCAAATTGTTGACTAACTTTGCTGCTTGTTTAATTAGTAACGAATCATAATTGTTGATAAAACACTCGCAGATGTTCTCAAAAAATAATATTGAATGAAGAACTAAATGAAATAAATAAAAAGAAAATAAGCAGCAGTTGGGTGACTTTTACTATCATATTTATTTTTAATTCTTTAAGCTTGATTAATTTGTTTGTTAAAAAACGAAAGCATTATATAAATATAAGTAGCGTAATCATACAGAGCTGGTTAAAGCGTAGTTTAAATCTTTTACGTAAACAAAACATAAACAACTTCACTAGGAGTAAAGTGAAGGCTATAAAAATGTGCCCAAGTTTCAGAAATTGGCTAATAAAAAGTTCAGAATAACTGGATTAAGTACTTAAAATTTTTTTATGCTTTACAAAAACGATGTATAAATCTAAAAATTTATTTTTACATAAAAATTACATTTACACACATTTTCCAATACTATTTGCCGTTAACACCGAAGTATTTTTTATGATCTGGCAAAGCCCACTTAAACGACAGGTGGCAGCCCTGACACTCCTGCGAATAGCAGTGCGAAGAAGAGCAAGAAGAACCGAGCAACGCAATGGCAATTCTTCTTTCTCCGGTCGTTCGTGGGCATTTTGCGAGAAAACTTTTCGCCGCATTTAAAAACGGGCGCATCAAAATATGCAATCAGCGTAAAGTTTGGATTTAAGGTAGACAAATGCACCGCCGGCCGCTTGTCATATTTCAAAATATTTAACCTCAAAATGACACCGACAACCTTGTCGAAAATTTAAAATAAAATAATTCAAATTGGGAAGTGCGAGGCGAGACTTTTTCGGGCGTGTGGTGTGATGTAATCGTTTGGTCAGAATGGCGGCGGCTGACTATCCTTTTTCGGCCGCAAACGGAATTGCCAGGGCTTTGTTTACATCAACGCCGAGCTTGCGGTCTGGAATATAAATAAAAAGACCGACTTAACCTCATTTATGGACCCAAATTGGTGTTTATAAGTTGGAATATTTTGCGTGTAAAAAAGCTTAGACACCACCAAAGCCGTGCAGGATGGGCAAACACCGTTGGTGCGAGTGGGACAACCAGTGTGTGCGCTAGGGTTGGAAGTCGGAGATGCTAAGAATTCTGGCTAAAAATAGCTAAAGTTGTATAGAACAAATAAAGGTCTTTTAAGTTGTAAGAGTTTATTAAATAATAATAATACTACTAATTAAGAACAATATTTTCGATAATTAATAACCATTTAATAATAAGGTTAAATTATTTATTTTGTTGTTCGAATTTCAAGACAAGATTCGATACTCAAGACAATTTGGTATTAGATGTAATATTAATTTTTCCTCAGTTAAACGTTCTAATTTATATATGATATCTGAGTATTAATTGAATATGCAGTGTTTTAAAGATTTGGATTAGATACTACACAAAAATGAAGAATTAAATATTATTATTTAAGAAATTTGGCTACGAAGTGCTTACAAATCTAGTGCAGAGTTACACATTAAAAATTGTGGAGACCAATTCAAAATCTTTTAAATTATAAGAGTATATTGGATAACAATATCGATAATTAATAGCCATATAATGTGAAGGTTGAATTATTATATTTTCTCTTTTTAAATTTTCAAGACTATTTGGTTTAAGATGTAATATTAATTTTCCCTCAGTTAAACTGTTTCCGTTTATTTATGAAATATTAAGTGTTTTTAAGATTTGGATTAGATACTACACCAAAATGTAGAATCAAATATTATTATTAAAAAAATTTTACTACAAAGTACTTACACATCTAGTGAAGATTTACAAATTACAAATAATGGAGACCAATTAAAAATCTTTTAAATAATAATAGTATTTAAGATAACAATTTCAATAATTAATATCCATAAAATGTAAAGGTTGAATAATGTTATTTTTTTCAGATTTCCAAGGCTATTTGTAATATGATTCAATATCATTTTTTTCCACTGTTAAACTTCCTGGTATAAATTTTATTTCTGTCTATTTGTGAATTATTCAGTGTTTTTAAGATTTGTATTAGATACTAGAGCAAAGTGTGTAATCAATTTTATTATTTAAGAAATTTACTCAAAGTGCTTACAAATCTAGCTACGGAATGCGTTTTCGCCATCACTGTTGGAATCTTCAAAGGTGCTGCCACCCCTTAAAAACCAACAAAAACAAATGGATCTAGTATGAAAACAGTGATTAATGCGATTTTAAATAGATCTGTAAATAATTAATTAGATTTTAAGTGTTAGGATCTCGAGAGTTGGTTTTTTCTGTTAAAAAGTAGGGATTTAAGGTACATCTAACCGAAATATGGCAACGCCGCTAGTCGCACTCTCCCTCTCCCACGGTCTTCGTTCTCTGAGCACATGTTAAGCGGCAGAAACAATTGTTGCTCGTTTTTCGTGCAATTTTTTGCTTTTGTTTATGTGTTTACAAATAATCACTTCTTTTGCCAGGGTCAGTGAGTGATGAACAACCAGGACTATGGCGGCATCCAGTGGATACAGCACCATCCCGCTGCAGGGGACTCTTCTGAAACGGACATTATGGAGCACGAAGACGCCGACGGCGATGATATGGTGAGCGGAGCGGACGGTGACCCAGACGGGGATGGGGATGCGGATGCTGACCTAGACCATATGGCTGCCGAGAACCTTATCTTTATGGCGCGCGACGGCCAGCTGGGCGAGATTATTGCCGCCAACGAGGGAACTGTCCTCGTCACCGCCGATGGCACTACCGTGGCTTATGCGGAATCCTTTGATGATGACGCCCAGGTGGTTACCGAGGAGGTCATCACCGACGACTGGGTGCAGCACCAAGGAGCCGAGCGGTGAGTTATAAATCTGGTGACTTAAAGCTGTTAAATTAACGCATTTATATTTATTACAGAGTGGAAATTGCCGCTGAGCAAATAGCTGGCATCGGAAGCTCGCAGGAACTGTTGGACATGGAACAGGATGAGTACACGGCCCTGCGACCCTATCCCTGCGACTTTTGCAGTCGCCGGTTTCGGAAGAAGGCTAGCTTGAACAACCATATGCTGGCCCATCAAAACGATCGACCTCATCTCTGCAAGCTGTGCGGAGCACGCTTCTCACGCCGGGCGGAGCTTATTAGCCACTTTAAGGCCCACGCCGAAGCCCAAGATGCTGCGGATGCCGAGGCAGCTGCGGCTGCCGCCGTTTCCTCTTCCATAAAATTTGAGAATCAGGGCCAGAGGCAGATTGATGATCACTACTACGAGCAGGAGTGGCCGCTGTATCAGCAGCAGCAGCAGGATCAGGAACAGGAGCAAGTGCAACATGAGCAGATGTTGCAACAGGAACAACAGCAACTAGTCTGCAACAATGAGGTCCAGTTCGTGGCCAGCTATACAGCATCGGTGGCTCCCCCTCCTGCTCCTTCGCGCGGAAGAATTAGCAGGCTGAAGCCCAAGGAGGAGAGCAGCCAGTTTGTCGTAATTACCGATAAGCCGGCGTCCAGTGAGCTGCATGACTACATGACCAGCGAGCCTGTGCCTCAGCCAGTGGTACCCACATCGCAGCCCATGGCCATTGATCCTCCGCCAGCGCCGCAGCCAAACTTCCCAGTGCTGGACGAAAGCAAGCCCTTCGTGTGTCAGCAATGCGGACTGGCTTTTGCTCGGGAAAAGGCGCTAGTCTCGCACACTAAGGTAATGAGGGATGTCAAGTCTTGAAAACCATAGCTTGTTGTGGTTTTTTGTACCTGGAAACTGGTTTACCCAAAAATCCACCACTAATTGTTCATATCTGGCTTGCAGAACCATCGTGTAGACTCTCCCTTTGAGTGCAACCAGTGTCAGGAGATGTTCTGGGACAACAGCAGTCTGCAGGACCACCAAAAGACGCATCAGTTTGAGGAAAGCAACTCGGAGTATGATCCTGCCTCCGGCGATGATAGCGCCAGTGAAACGTCGGAGCCAGAGGACCAGCTCTACGGAGAGTTTTACTGCAACGAGTGCGGCATCTCCTTTCATCGCCAGGATCTACTGCGGCGACATGCCAAGCAGCATTTCAAGCAGCAGGAGCAGAATTCAACGGTAGCTGCAGGCGACGGTAGCTCCTCGGACGTCATAGCTAGCTGCGAGCAGACTAAAGATGGTAACGGTGGGCACTGTTGTCAAACGTGCGGTAAATCATTTCCCAGTGCCTTGGAGATGCTTTCCCACGCCGAAATTCATGCGAGGTTTCCGCCTTTCAAGTGAGTGCCTGAGTTGTTCTCGCTTCCTAATCGAAATTTTTGTAATCCGAAATCCTCTTCCAGGTGCGTACTTTGCGGCATAAGTTTCTACGAGGAGCAGGCCATCAAGCGGCACTTGCACACCCGTCATCCAAACGAACTAAAGGCCAATTCCTGTGTATTGTGCGGTAAGGAGTGTCGTGACCGCAAGGCTCTGATCAAGCATGCCTGGGATCACTCCCGCGAAAAGTGCCACTCTTGCTCCAAATGCGGCAAGAATTTTCACAACAAGGCGCGTTTGAAGCGGCACATGGCCTCCCACCGCGACAAGTCCGTTGTGTGCGAGGTCTGCCAGGAGGAGTTTCCCGACGGACGTACGCTGTCCAATCACCGTCACTCGCATAGCACCACGTCACCGGGCAAACTGTTTCCCTGCCACGAATGCGGAAAGACATTCGGATCACGCAGTTCCCAACAGATCCACGTTCGCATTCATACGGGTGAGCGTCCCTACGGTTGTAGGTATTGTTGGAAGGCCTTTGCCGATGGCGGGACGTTGCGCAAACACGAACGGATACATACGGGCGAGAAGCCCTACGCCTGCTCCGTATGTCCGCGTGCTTTTAATCAGAGGGTGGTTCTGAGGGAGCACATCCGCTCTCACCACTCGGGACTGGACGTGGCAAGAAATACCTACCATTGCACTGTCTGCTCCGAGGATCTGGCCTCATCCAATGACCTCATACAGCACCTCATCCAGCACAGTGATTCGAACACCGCCAAGCAACGTCAGCCGGTGGTAAGTTCAGCAATAATTTTAACGGCATCACAATTTCTTATTTGGTAATACCTTTTTGCAGACGGGACCGCGAAAGTACAAGCGTCGACGGAAGCTGCAGCCTCACGAAATTGCGCACATGCGAGCGGAACACAAAGATGCTAACGGCGGCGGCGACGAGGAGGAGGTTCTGGGAGGCGGAGGCGATGGCGATGGAGAGGAGTATGCCAGTGACATTGACCTTTGTGACTTTGATGTGGAAAATGTGGACGATCTGTTTGAAATGGCCGAGTCATCACCCAAAAAGGAGAAGCGCAAGAGGAAATCAGCAGCGGCATCCGCGAAGACAGAATCTAAACCTGTTTCCAATGGCGGCGCATCGTCGGCGAAGCTTGTTCAGGAGAAGAACACGGCTAAGCTGCGATATGACTCCACCAGCAGTCAGCAATCGGATCGCATTTGGGAGGAAAAATTCCTGCAGGACAGCCAGGTGGGTCTCTTCCAAATCGATTCTCTGGTGGTGGTCAACGATACTCACCTTCCACCCGCGAGCTCTTCGGTCATGCCCAAGACGAGAGGTAGCTCCAAGCAGCAGCAGCAGCAGCAGCATCAGGCCAAGCAACCCGTTGAAAGAGCTGGCAACTCGAATCCCTCAGCTGCAAGCTCAGTAGCTACATCATCCGCCTCCGCCTCCACATCCACTTCCAGCAGTCGCAGCAGGAAGAAGACGGCTGCGGTAAAAACAGCTGCTGCCTCGCGACCCCGTATGATACACACGGAGAAGGCCAAGGTGCCGTCCAGGGGAAATACCGGCGGAGACTTGTGCAAGAAGACACGCTCCAAGACCTACATAACCCGCACGGAGACAAGCAATCTGAGCAGTCTGGACAAGTCACGCAGCAGAGCCTCCAACATTGTGGATGACTACGAAATCATTTCACCGGCTACCCATCCTCCTAACCAGATCAGTTCCAGTCCCCTGCACATCAAACAGGAGCAGGAGCAGCATAACCGTGTCCAGATGATGTACGACGACAATCTCCTGATAGACGCTGCCCTGCTGCGGGAGAAGACCTACGAGAAGTTCAATCCGAGCATTGTGAACGATCTGGAGGAGATCCTACGGTCGCCGCTCAAGCACGAACGCAATACCCGCCTGCGATTCACCAGTGAATCCTCGACCACGCCACAGTTTCTGCCTGAAGAAGAGCAGAATCTGATTAAGATCGAGCCCACGTCTCCGGATTTGCATGAGATGCTGGAGAGTCAGAGTCAAAGGGTGAGAGTACCAAGTGGCAATACACCGTCTCCCTCGTCTTCCTCCGCCGCCAGAACTTCTCGTCATCGTATCGTAAATGCCAATGGACCAAGGACAGCGAACAAAAGATCCGCAGGAGGAGGGGGTGCTAGCAGCGCTAGCAAATCCTCTCCTGCCACAGGAGTGGCGGCCAAGAAAGTGATCACTGCTGATAGTAAGGTCGGCAGTTCGTCCTCGTACCTCAATTACGGGGTGGATGCCTATAATGTGAACGTACCTGCCAGTTCCAGCACTGCCGATGTGGGCAGCGGATTCTTCTCCATCTCGGAGGTTGTATCGGCCGCGGATGCTGCCGATGCAGCTGATGCGGCAGCTAAGGCAGCGGCAGCTGGGAAACCGGATCGAAAAACGCGCAGTTTCGAGTGCGAAATGTGCTCGGCCATCTTTTATGATCGAGCCCAATTACTGGACCATGTGCACATTCACATTTAGATGGATGACAGACGCTACCTAAACCACTCGCCCCCGAAGGAACCGATGGCGTTTTCGGGTTTCATACAAATTTCCCCAAGGGAAGCAGAGCAGCCTTGTATTTTTGAAACCTCTTATCCTAAAAAGAAAAATAACATACAAATAACAATTTCGTTAGGAAATTGCCTAGATGTTACCTCAGCCTCATGGTATCGTCGTGCATCGAACAGCAGATAGATCGTTGATTTATGCGTTATTTAAAACTGAACATACATAAAAACAAAACTATTGTAAAAAGAGAGCTTAGTTTGTAAGACTTTTAAGTTTGTACCTCAGAGCTTTTGTTTTGAAGAATCGATTGGTATGCTGGAAATAAATACATCATTAAATGGTTTTCATTGCCTTAAAAATGGTATTGTTCCTGTAATAGATCTTATTAGAGATAGCAGATAGATTGCTGTTTCGACGAACTGTGTCGATAAAAAATGCATAATGATGTAATGTCTTTTGAAGATTCTTTTGAAATCAGTCTGTGGAAATCTTTAATTTAAAGAAGTGGAAAATTACCATATCATATCAATCATACAAAATCTGTCTGTCTGTCTTGGCACCCAACCATTATTTGGGTAGATTAGGAAATATTCCATACGTTATCAGATTTGATCAAAAATGCCCTTGTGTATGGCTCTATTTTCTTATTTTCGTGTTCCACCCTGGATTTCAAGTTTAAATTGGTGACTTGTAGGTATTTTTAAGCTCAAGTGCGACCCTATAAATCATATATATTATGATTTACCATAATAATTGTCATATAAACATTAAATATCTTGGGATATTGATTTCTGATTTCATCCTATTATTCAAGGGCAAACCGCAAGGGTATATAATCTTCGGCTTCCCAAAATTACTTTCCTTTACTTAATATTATAATAAGAAAAAATTCCAGGTTTCGAACTTCAGAGCCTCATCATTAATTTAATCGGATTATTTAAAGTTCGTCATAAGAGACATATAGAATAGCAAATAATTGCAATCAAGCTGCTTTATAATGCTCTTTTCTTATCAAATATAAATGACTTATGTGTGCTTGCACTTAGAACAATAAAAGTCATAGATCATATCTACTAAATGATATCGAACACGCGGCACTGATAAGAGGTGATTTCCCCCGTAAGCCAGATGTGTTTGTTTGTGTTTGTTTTGAAGCCTTGATTATATATACTATATATAAGTACATGAGTGAGATGGGAGAGTGTGGTTTACTTGACTGTTTGAACAGCTTTTCTATGGAAAACCGCAACTGCTATGTCAATCCGAGAAGATCAAGAGGTCCTATAAAGATTATAATACCCTTGACTACGCTTTCTTCTTTTTTTTTAAATCAATTAATTAGCAAGTCCAGGGGTTTTGTGACCCTAAATATAGCAGATTATTCTTTCAAATAGCTTTGTTTGTTTGGAATATTGAATACACATACGATGTAAATAGATGCTAATTTAAACGGGCGGACTTTAAAATAAATAGAATACATATTTAGATAGAGACTTGTCTGCCAAGTGTATTCGACTAGTTGTTACCTAGCAGAGAATTAAATGGGTTTAGCATGCTTTTTATTTCTCTGACAAACTAACCATTACAAATTACAAATGAGTCATGAGAACTATTATTGATTCATACATTTACGTTCAGAGAGAGCGAGAGAATAGAGAGTAGTTTGCACTCTAATTAGTATGTAACTTGCCTGATATACCCTCTCTGGTGACATCTCCCTGTCGTATTTTTCCATCACCGCTTCGCCCTCCCACAGCGTTGGCGGGTATATATAATGGGTCGTATCAGAGACCATTCAAATCAGTTCTCTCACAACCATCGAGACATCAACATGAACGGAGTTAAGTCGTTGTTTATTTTGGGCCTGGTCCTCCTCAGCTTGGCAGCCTTTGTTTCAGCTGATGATGCACCCGTTGTCGGCGGTAAAAAAGTGTTGGAGGGAGACGAGAGGAAGGAGGCTATTGACCGCCTGGATGCCGCCCTTGCCACTTTGGCCACTGGAGATGGTCCAAGCTACAAGTAAGTAAAGGACTTAATCCATAATATATGCAAGCTAATATGAGATTCTTCTCGATCCTCCAGGGCCATCAATGTGAAATCTGTTACTGGTCAGGTGGTGTCTGGATCCCTCAATGTCTACGAGGTGGAGCTGAAGAATGGCGATGACAAGAAGGACTGTACCGTAGAGATCTGGTCGCAGCCTTGGCTGAAGGAGAACGGCACCAACATCAAGATCAAGTGTGGTGACGAAGGTGAAATCAACCGTACCTGGTAAATAACTAAAAAATGTAAAAAATGTGTCTTCAATTAATGTGAAAACATGTCCTCCCATTGACAATTTTAATAAAAAACAGAGCTTTCAAAAAATACATTGAAATTGCTGTAAATTTCTGTTGGGAATGGATAGATTATCGATTATAAATTTATAAGTATTAAATTTTATGTTAAATTCTAACAGAATATTTGTTTGTAAATAAACTAACCTTCTCCCAGGTGAAACAATAATCTTAACTAATTAGGTAAACTCCTTTTTCTAGAAGAGGGGTTGCCTCTCCAAGTGTGAATATATAAAATTAAATATACCATATTTATAACTCGCTGCAAATTAGTTATTATTATTATTAGTAGTGTAAATTCATAAAATGGAATATAAAATATTCATAATTCGCCACAAATTCGTTATTAGGTAAGCAGTTTTGTTGGCAAACCAGTTTGTTTCTATACAGCAAATAGGTTGTTCTCTCTCATTGGGAACTATTGTGTGAATTTAATTAGTCAATGTTGATGTCGACATCATCAGTTAACGTAGTGGTAGTTATAAAATAATATTATTCTTTTGTGCTAATTTTATCTTATAAAATGAAAAGCTGTATATATATTTATTGTAAATTTATATACATTGCAATTGTAAGTAATTAGTCAAATTTAATTACTTAAATGTCTGAAAATATTTAAAACGCATTTATATTCTATGAATTATCTTTTAAATCTTTTGAAATTTTTTGATGTCAATATACGGAAATCTAATTTAATTCTAAGAATAATTTAGATGCGCGAAATACATAAACTGCAATATAATGAAAAGTTAAAGGTTAATTAACGTTTAATAAACCTTACACTATTTCTAATGAATATATAGTATGAAATCTGCATATATGACCCCATCAATCTACTATAAAAGCAGAATCTACGTCTGTGCTTATTTAGTTTGATATAAATTTTCGGGAAAGATGCACTTTATAAAAGTAATCGTGGCTCTCAGCCTAGTTCTGGCTGTGGCCTTTGCTGAGGTGAGACTTGATTAGTTTATAATAATTTACTTAAAATATAATGTAATATATCTTCACACCTTTAGATTCCTCCTTTAAGTACAAAATTAGAGGGAGATGAATTAGTGGCTGCTAAGAATCTTTTGACCATAGCACTTAGCAAACTACCTGGTACCAAGTACAAGTAAGTATTAAATAGATATTAACTTAGAGTTTATAGAAACTTGTTTGGATTTGAAATATTTTACATTCTATCGTTTTAGTGTCGTTAATTGGCTTTCTGCAGAGGCTAGATCTTATCATAAATATGTTGTGGACATTTCCGATGGTTCAAGTCAAAATGAGTGCACCTTTGAGATCTTTCAAAGTTTGCCCATCATTGAAAATGGCAATCGGATCAATATGCATTGCCAGGGAGGCTATGAGCTTGACCATATTTGGTAATTGATCAGCTCACAAGATATGAAATATTCTCCAATTAATGTTGATATATGAAAAATATCTTCTTTGAAATGCTCAAATATAAGCTAACCCAATTTCTTTTATTCTCTTAAAGAGATGCGTTTCTTTTATAGAACGTACGAAATCGTTTTTATATATTTATTTTCCCTTGAATTCCTGAATTCCCTTGAATTCGCACCCTTTGTATGCATATATGTATAAAACTTGTGTGTATATATGTATATGCATATCTTACTTATAAAGTGGTTACCTCAACGGAACTTTAATCAGTTTACTCACGAACACTGAGCGAGTGACATTATTGACCTGAACGTGTTGAATTCGTTCCACTTTTAAAACTTATTTTTATTACTTTTGAATTTCACTGTTTTGGTCATGAGTGAAGTTGAGAATTGCCTTGGAGGAACCAAAATGCTGGAGGGCATGGAGAAGCAGGAGGCTTTGGATTTACTAAATACTTGCCTCGACCACTTGGCCAAGGGAGATGGTCCCAGCTACAAGTAAGTTGAAGATACAACAAAAAATTCTAATTAAGTTTTAAAATCAATATGTGATTATCTTTCACCAGGGTCATTAAAGTGATTTCTGTGACGGGTCAGCTGGTGGCTGGTGATCTCTACAGTTTTAAACTGGAGCTGGACAATGGAACTGATATAAAGCCGTGCTCCGTGAAGATTTGGTATCGGTGCTGGCTTAAGGAGAATGGAATTAATATTAAAATCAAATTTGCTGGAGAAGATGGCGAACTAGATCGCACTTGGTGATCATTCTTTCATTATTTTGCTAATCTTAAAGAGTTGTATTTATTTAAATTCGTTTTTATATGAAATAAACATCATTGTATCTTTTATATATGTTTTTATAAAGAAGCATTAAAAATGTTCTTTACCATTATCGCACATTAGGATACCAAGTAACCAAGGCCAACATATACTTTTGTACCTACCTGAATTTTTACAAATGTTTATACTTTAAGTAGGTAGTCTATATATGTATTTATATATTCCTTTGAAGAATGTCAAGTTATCTCAGTTTATGTACTGGTAAACAGTGAACCCTCCCCAGGTACTACGATATATGTAGATAAAATACCAGGTAAGCGGTCCTTACATCACCATGGTGTATTGGGAACGAAAGGTGTGGTGTATTTTACTCCTTATATTATTCGAATTTAAATATGTCAATGTTGAGTGTATAATACGCTAAAAATATTCCACTCATTAATATATTATTTTCATATTTTCTGATGCTGAATAGGCTTTGTTTTCTTCACACCAATAAGCGAATTTTTCACAACAATATTTGTAAACTGTATATAAGTATATACACTCACAAAGGTTTTTGTTTGCTTATCGTATATACACAGAACAATGCAATTGTTTTTGCCATTTATGAACTGATAAGGCAAATCTGAGTAATACATTTAGCTTAAGTTAAATGTTTGGGAATATCTGAAACGCATTCGTATTCCAATCACCAGTCGGGAAAGTTCGCAGAGTAGTTTTACTACAAATTACCAGATAAATATTATTTCGTCTTTATTATCGAAAGAATTTTCACCTTGTTCGTCACACATTTTCGGAGCTCATTTAGTCCTTGTTGCGCTCTTGACAAGTGAAAATGTCTCAGGTGCGTTAATTATTTTATGAATATATATAATTTTGAGAAAATGAAGGATGGGTTGGTAAATTGTGTTTTTAAGAAATCTTCATATTATTCTCAGTGTATTACTTCATATATGTATGTATGTGACAAACCTACCTAGTGAGTAATAAAACTACACATTGCCTTATCAGTGAGTGCCAGAAGAGTTCCGCCAACATTTAATTGATAACACATTATGAAAATCAAAACAATTACTTTTTTGGTTAAATATTACTTAATTAGGTTCAGTCAAAATTAAGTTTTTAATTCCTTTACAATTAATTTAAATTAATGTATACATTTTCTCACGAAAAATTAAAAAGAATAGTTAGAATTACATGTTAGTTGACAAGTTCTTGTTGATAAAAAATAGCTCAAAACCTAATCTCGCTGCTAACAAAAAACAATTTTTTTAATTATAAAAATATATAAATATATGAGAGTTTAGCAAAATTAATTGGCTCTTTGTTCCTTTGTGTTTTCTACATGTAATCAAAAATTTGCCTATTTCAAAGTACAAAAAATGAAAGTAATATATTTCGAAGTCAAACCAAAGTTCAAGTTTAAAGGCAGGTCGTTCTCCGGCGATTTTAGGCCGACCGGATGAAGGTAATCTTGGCTTAATAAAAATATATTTATATATAAATATAAAATAACAGAGACCCTATCAGGCTCCTATAAAAGTGGGATCTCTGCATTCTGTGTACTCAGTTTGAAACGAACATTTGGGGAAAAAACACACCATGAAAGTGATCATCGCGCTTAGCCTTATTCTGGCCGTCGCCTTCGCTGGCGTAAGTTAGGATTACTTAACTAAAGTCTTATTTTAAATAACAATTAAATTTTTTCTGGCAGATACCTGGTGCCCAAGGACCCTGGAAGGGGACGAACTGAAGGAGGCCAAGGAGCTATTGACCACCACATTCGCTGGTTTGCCTGCAGACAATGGTGTTAAATATCAGTAAGTTTTTAATTTTGTTTTTATAAAACTCCAGGGTATTCTAATTTTAAATTAAAAAACCGGTCCGGTCTAAAAATAAATTTTCGAATTTGTTTACAAAGTTTCAAAAAATGATAAGTATTACATCATTTAAAATTCGAAAAATTTGTAAAAAAAATTGAATATCTTAAATTTTACAATTTATTATGCATATTTGTTAATCTGTTAAAAACTAGCACAAGACTGCTTTCATAAAATTTATTAATAATAATTAAAATTAATGCCTTTTTGACTTAGTTATGAGTTTTTTAAACTTTAATTTATTGAAATAATTGTCATTAAAATATTGATAAATATCGATTTAAAGAATGAGAATATTTTAAGCTTATTTAGTAGTGATAGATTTCAAACTGAAATTGTTTATAATCCTCGGCATCCCGAAATTAGTTTCCTTTCTTGTTTTCAATAATATTTATATTTACATACATCTTAAGCTACTGAATTTTTTCACAATATTAAATAATATGTGTTATTTATTATTCCAGAGTTGGTAACGTGGTCTCGGTGACCCGCCAATTGGTGGCTGGCAATATCTTCAAATATGTTGTGGACGTTTCCGACGGAACCACCACTGAGGAGTGCACTGTCAGCATCTGGCAACAGCCTTGGCTGGAGAAGAATGGCAACAATGTCAAGATTGAGTGCAAGGATGTCGTCAAGCTAGATCACACATGGTAGATAATGTGAAAACTGACTGAAATCTGTCTGTATGTCGAATAAAATGTGATTTAATTAACATGCGAACTTGAATATTATTTACTGATCTTAATTATTTAAGAAATTATAAGAGAAAAAAATATTTCATTACCCTGAATCTCGCAAATAAACAATTGATAACACATGGTAAAAATCAAAACAATTACTATTTTGGTTAATGTTTACTTAAGTAGCTTTCTTTAAAACATTAAAAATATGAACTTATAACATATTATTATTATTACTTCAAGACAAATTTAAAGAATTTATTTTTTTTTACCCAATATTTAAAATATTGTATACATTTTCTCACCAGGAATTTGAAAAAAAATAGTTAGAATAACTTTTTAGCTGACAAGTTCTTTTTGAAAAAAAAGCAGTGGCTAGACTTTTATAAAAACTAAACCGGCTAAATCTCAGTCAAAACCAAATCTTTCTGATGATTCAATTTGAATGCAAACTCAAAGATCATAAATATTAAAGAAAATCCTAGGGAAACAAATATTTCATTACCCTGAATTGGAGATCAATGACCTGCTTTTTTTTATTGCAAAAAGGCTTTTGCATCTTGCATTTATTTATAAATATTCTTCTTTATTTATAAATATTATTATATCTTTCGTTTGCATAACGAAACTGGGGTTTCTTGAACTATATATAAATATTCTTTGTTCCTTTGTCCCTTTGTGTACACAACTGCCGATGAATCAATATCTTTTTGCAACTCCTGACCTGCGCAATCCAGTCAAATTAAGTAATCTTCAGAAACGCAAACAAGTCTGGAAATAAATTAATTAAAATTAAATAAAGAAGCTAGAAAAACGAGGGGCTTTATTGTCGTCGGGTTCAGGTTTGAGTGCACGAGCTGCTCTCTTTTTCTTGCGATCAGATTGTTTTAAGCTAGCCAAACATATATACTTATATGTATATATACATATTCTAACTGAGCACTCGGATATCGTTAGACTTAGCTATAAAAGAGCTCTCTCGGCACTCGGTTTATTTAGTTAGAAATAGGTGTTTATGTGAAATGCAGTCTATGAAAGTGATCTTTGTTGTGGCCCTGACTTTGTCAGTGGCCTCCGCTCTTGTAAGCTGTGATATATATTTACTTAAATATATATTAAAGAATAATTATTAAATTTTGGTATTAATATATTAACCAATGTTAGCGCACTCGTCTACTCGGTGCCCCCAAGCCGCTTGAGGGAGAAGAGCTGGAGACAGCCAAGGTTCTATTGACAAGCACTCTCGAGGAACTGGCCGCCGGAGAGGGACCCAAATTCGAGTAAGTTCTTTACTAAACTGAAGTTTAGAATACATAAATAATTTCTCGTTTAATTTCAGAGTTATAAAGGTGACATCAGCAACTAGAAAGTTGGTGTCAGGATCCCTTGACACCTTTGTTGTTGAGCTCTCTAATGGTTCCGAAAATAAGGATTGCAAAGTGCAAATATGGAGCCAGCCTTGGCTAAAGCCTCTTGGAACCGGAACTAACGTTAAAATTTATTGTCAGGATGATGAAGTTGTGGAACGTACTTGGTAGATTCATTAAAAACAAGTAGTGCCGACAATAAATAAATTGTGATTATCTATGAAACAATAATCTTTAAAACTTGTTATTGCGTTGGATAATCATACATATACTTTGGCGAATCCCTGAACAAATCGTGCTAATATAATACAAAGTGATAACTTGGATTGATTGTGGCGTAACCTGTTTCAGAGCTAAACAAGTATATTTGCGGCTTATAATTTTGAATAGGTCAACTGATCAGAGATCAAAAGAAATAAAGTTCTGTCGTCGGTAGACTTTGTAATAATAACAAATAGCAAACCGTAAATTGTGTACTTTTATTAGCGTTTGGAGTTCATTTTACAATTGTTTATCGTTTAAATACTAGTGAATAGATAGAATTTTAAAGTAATTGAAAAACAATTAAGTGAAAAACAAATCTATCTATGTACATACGTACTTGGAACATAGAATTAAAATTTTACTTGAAATATGAACGTAATAAATTGGTACTTTCGTTATAAAATAAATAATTTCGTTATAAAAGAAACAATTCTATCACCTGACTTACTTTATTGACACCTATGTAAATATTAAAATTTATTTGTTAGTTTTCTCTTGATTTATTCCAGACTTCTAGCTTACCACAAGTACAGTACAGCTTCATTAGCTTGCTTAGGACCTCTATGGACTTAATTTTAATTTTAAAATTGTTTTGAAATATTGCATTGAATAAACAAGAGAGTAAAGTATTATCGGTAAGCCGAATTTTATATACCCATGTAATTTGCATTAAATTATAGGATACTATAGATATTTTTATATGATATTATTTTTCGACAAATACAAGTTTAAAAATCGGATAATTAAGCCAAAAACCCATGAATTTTAATTCGGAGCACTCCTATGTTAGTTTTTAGTCATTTTAAAAATCTGTATACTAAATTTAAAATTTTAAGAAATTAAATTTTTCCCCAAATTTTGACCATTTTAACCCCTTATAAAATTTTGAAATTTTGAAAAAATTTTGAAAATTTATTTTTTGACCGGACATGGCTAGAAAGATTTGCTGTTGATGCTGATCAAGAATATATATAACTTATAGGGTCGGAAATGACTCCTTCACTGATTTTGAAGCTCCTGACTTTAAAAAATTATTAATATTAAAACAATTTTTTGATGGGATTGATCCTGAGATAGCTTAACTATTAAAGTAAATTCTTAATTTTTCTTCATTTACCCCGAAGTGAAGCGGAGATCCTAACCCTTTTTAATGTTTGCCTTTAAATACTTATAGAAATGACTTAATTAATTCATTTTTTATAAACATATATAAACGCTTTATTTTTTATTAAATGCTCCTCTTATCTTATAAAAATTTTCTATTGAATTGCTTATGAAAAAGTGTCCTTTTTAACCGCTCCTGTTATTGTTCCTGATAGTGTTCCTCATGGCGTTCCTGCGGTTCCTCTGGCGCTGAGCCCTCTGACGCTGGCGCTGGCGACGACGACGCTGAATCTGTTGGCGGCGCCTTCGCCTGCGGTTGTTGTTGCTGCCGCTATTACCGCTGCTGTCGCTATCGCTGTCGCTTCCAGAGGCAGGTGAGTCGGAGGATCCGGACGAAGGATTCGAAGGCGAGGTGCTGCCATCAGTGGGAGTGGTGCTGCCATCAGTGGGAGTGGTGCTGCCATCCGTGGGGGTAGTGCTTCCGTCGGTAGGAGTAGTGCTGCCATCGGTGGGGGTGGTACTTCCGTCCGTGGGAGTGGTGCTGCCATCAGTGGGAGTGGTGCTGCCATCCGTAGGCGTAGTGCTGCCATCCGTAGGCGTAGTGCTGCCATCGGTGGGCGTGGTGGGGTCATCCTGGGCCTGGCTATAGCTGGACAGGCACAGAGTGAAAAGGGCAAGGCCCAGGAGAAGAGTGGTAGATCTCATGCTTGTTGTCGGTTCAAACGGATCGGTTTGCTTGATGATCTCTGGTCGGAGGCCACTGCTTTTATACCGCTTTCTTCTCCTCCACCCTTCTCCAGCTGGGCTAATAAATTGATTGAAAAGAAGTTCTTGTATTGGCAAATTACAGCAGCTGTCAAAGAGCTAATATTTATATTTTTTGGGTCTTGTTGAGACTTATTTCTTGGCTAAATATTTGCAGCATCTTTGGGGTACAACGCGTGGTAAAAAACCCTAAATATTAGCTTAATATGTGAAAGAGTTAGTTAATATAAAAAGCAAGCTGATTGCTTGGAAACTCACAACTTAAATAAATATTGAATGCATGATTTTAGGCGAAATTAAAAATAAGTATTTTGATCTCTACTTGAGGTAATTTAAGACCAGGTAAAACAGACCAATTAGTATTTATTATTATTATTATCAATTATAATGGGCTATGCAGTGTTGATTAGAAAATGCATAAATAAGTAGTATCTAAGTGTTAAAATTTTTAAATTAAAGTCAATCATTTAAAGACACCAATTATCTTGGATTTTCAGATAAATACATATTTATTAATTGTGTTTTATTTGTAAATGTAATATTGTAGGGTAAAATTGTTCAAAAGAAAAATAGCTAAACGAGATAAATGCGGAAATAAATATAATAATAAATAGTACTACAAAAATTGCTCTGTTCAACTTATTTAATGTTATGTCCCTAACCCGTATAAATCCCATCTCTCGTACTAAATAAATAAAGACAGGTGTATTTCCTAAGCCGATCTTTTCTTTTTTTGCAAATTCTCCACAAACAAAATTCATACCAATCTTTGTGCAAATTCTTCGCAAACAATTCATGAAAATAAAGGAAAATTCAAATATAAAAACCAGCTGGGTAAATTTGCCAATAATTTGTGGATGCCATAGGCGCGTGGAATCGAAGCGGATATAAAAAGCTCTCCCGGAACGGGAAGGCCACTCAATCCCGAACGCTTGAACAGCCCAAAGACATCACCATGAGAGCAGTGACCATCTTCACCGTAACCATCGTCCTGGCAGCCTGTCTCCTGAAGAGCACCGAGGCGGTGACCTGTACCGCTGATCCCACAGTCACCGGATGCATCGACTGCACCGACACCGCCAACGCTGCGGATGCTGAATGTGTGGCTGAGGCAGCGGCGAACACCACAACAACTGAGGCTGTCACAACCACGGCGGCCACTACGGCGGCTTCTACTTCGGCAACGGCCACCACAGCGGCGACCAGAACTGGAGGCAATCGGAAAGTCGTGCGATTGACCAACTTTAGATGGCGCGCCACCCGCCGCTTCCGCATCAACCGCAACAGGAACACCTCTAGCAGCACCCTGCGCACCACCATCAGGAATCGGAGGAACAGGAGCAACGTGAGAAGGGTCAATGTGAGGAACCGCAGAGGCAATGGCAATGTTCGTGTCATTGTGGGCTAGGAGGGAGAAGAGCAAACCAATAAACTACTGATCTTTAAAGAGAAAATGGTTTTCACTTGGAGAGTACTTTCGTTGGTACTTTTGATTTCAAGAGAATAATTCTTGAGGATCCAGAGAAAAGAGGAGTTTTCTTTTTTAAAAGAAACAAGAAGGTTGGTTACTTCGGGAACCATAAATTTATATATGTAAATGTACCCTTACAGGGCAAATCGGTCATAACTAAGTTAAAAATGCATTAATTTCTATTCGGAAAGCTTTTCAATGTTAGTTTTTAGTAGGTTTATAAATCTGCATACTCAATTTAAAATGTAAGAAAATCAACATTTTTGCCAATTTTTGAAAATTTTCCTTTTTTTGAAAAAATTAAAAATGTTTTTTTTCTGCCGGAGATAGCTAGAAAGATTCACCTGTTGTTCCTAACAAGAATATATACGATTTATAGGGTCGGAAATGACTCCTTCAGTGCATTGCAAGCTTCTGACTAAAATTATAATATCCTGCAAGCGCATAAAAATTGGATCGGAATTGCGATAATTTGAATACAATTTTGTAATTGTAAAATTGTTTTACATTATGTATATTTTAAACATATAAATATTCCTTTATATTTATAAATTATTACGTTGTTTTTTCTGTGTTTGAATTGCTTTTGCGCCATAGCTTCTGTGCTTCACTCCCTTGCCATATTAAAGATGTTCCTTATGTATATCTCTTCTGGTTGTCAGTTCTCTTAAGTAATTATGTTTAAAGCCGATCGCTAGCGAATTCTCTGCAAACAATTCTTAAATATATATTTGGCAAATTTAACAAGAAGCAGCTGTGTCTACAATCCGCCAGAATCGAACCACTATAAAAACCATACACACGCCCGATATATTATTTAAAAAATATCCATCTGAGGTACAATGAGGAACAGACTAATTTTTATTTTTTTAAGGAGCATCGAACTGGTGATTGATTATGATTTTTAAAGGAGGAATCAAAATTCTTTGAGGGTTACAATTAAGTGGCAAGGATCTTCTCTACTGAACGATTCCATCAAATGTAACTATGGAAATTGGAAACTACTTCTTAATACTCTTCTAAACTTAACTAGCATTCTTGTACAATATTTCAATGTTTTTTTGCTTTCCCTTTTGAGAGAATACACACTTTTCGTTATTTATTAATAATTTTAGTAGTAGAAAATATAACAAAATATGACACAAACAGCTGTGACAATAATATACGCATTTCAAGCCGATATATATAATATTATTTAACTTTTCGCAATCAATACATTCGTAAAACACCTACTCTCCATGTATGCTAAGTATTAAAACAATAATTTGTAATGCCAACTCTCTTAAAATAAAACAAATATATATGATTATTATTTAATTTATAACTCAATCCTACGCAAATTCTAAGCAAACAATTGCGGAAGGCACACCAGCAAATTAATGCAAATAAATAGTAACCAGCTGTGCCAATAAATTAAGCGTGTCGAAAAGATATAAAAACTCTTGAGACATCCCCTATTAACGTTAATTAAGAGTTTATGTTTTACAAAAATTTATGTGCATTTTAATTTTTAAAAACTGTAAATGTAGTATAACAACTTTCAGGTTAAAAAATTATGTTTTTTACCTTAAGAGTTTATTAAATTTTGATTTGTCGAAAATAAAGTCATATAATAAAATTGAAAAATATTGATTCAAAGAATAAGTATATTTTAAGATCAGTTATGATCGATTTCAGATTAGATCCTTTAATTCAATTGCAAACTGCAAGGGTAAATATACATACTTCTGCTTTCTGAAGTTAGTGTTTCCTTTTTGATCGACAAAAGTAGGCAATACAATTTTCAAAAATTTCATATCGACCAATTTCAGTAAAAATTCATTAATTTATTCTTAAGCAGCTCCAACAGTTAATTTATTAATCATTTATAAACCGATTCGATATGCGTTTTTAAAAAAAACTTTGATTTGCATATTGTTATTGTTTAATTTTAAATTTATTGAATTGTCATAACAAGTAGGTCATTTGAATAAACATAGGTACATGGGTATTATTTTAACCAACAACGACGCGAACCCTGGCGTTGCCATTGCGTCCTCGGACATTGCCACGCCTGGCATTGTTTCCATTCCTACGGTTCACGTTCCTTCGGTTGCGATTCGCATTGGCGGAGCGCCTGTTGACATTTCCGCGTCGGGATGTGGTGCTGGCGGTGGTGCTTCCGACTCGGATGCGCCTCCTGGCTGTGTACGTCAGGTTGCTGACACGGACGATCTTCCGATTGCCTCCAATGGATGAGGTCGGTGATGTGGTCGTGGTTGTGGTGGTGGATTCCGTGGTGGAAGTGGTCGTGACAGCCTCAGTGGATGTGGTGCCCGCTGCTGCCTCAGCCACACATTCAGCATTCGAGGCGTTGGCGGTGTCGGTGCAGTCGATGCATCCGGTGACGGTGGGATCAGCGGTACAGGTCACCGCCTCGGTGCTCTTCAGGAGACAGGCTGCCAGGACGATGGTTACGGTGAAGATGGTCACTGCTCTCATGGTTGGTTTTTTGAATTAGGTTTTGGTTTTGGTTTGCTGATTGAAGCTGGTTGATTGATGCTGCTTTCGGATGCCCGATGGGTTTTTATAGTAGTTCGATCCGTGCCAAATTTACGCAGCTGTTTCTGTCGAATTTTGGTTTATGCTCCTTAGTTGTTTGCCAAGAATTCGCAAACTATCGGTTTAGAAAGATGGTAGTTTCTACACTGAAGCAAAAACTTTAGAAATTAAAATATATTGGAATTTGGAGTTAAGAGTTTAGTCAATATAAGTTTACCAAAAGTTTTTAAAGTTTATTAAATGCACATTATCTAACTTGCGTTTTAAATAAATTAAAAGGGTCAGCGTATATTAATATTCTTGTCAAAAAGGAATGCTCATTCGTATTTATCAGCATAATATTTTATATTCGTTTGATAATATAATAATAATATAATTATTTTAATTGGCTTGTGTTTTTTTCTGTGTTATTGTACTGTCAAATGACTTTAGTCATAGACTATTGAATTGAAAAGTTTTCATTAGCCTTGTACCCTATTTGCTATAGACTGTGAATCCACAAAGATTCTCAATGCCATCTGCGACTAGTATTCGAACTCCTAGGTTGAAGGTTTTAATAATAGATTAACCAATGCCACTAGGCTGATGATAAATAAATTGGATCAATAATAAAATAGATAGATAAAATTATAAGAAAACTTTTTGTATATTTTATCTAATTTTGTATTGCATTATTATATTATTATAACTTTACTACAAAAGCATATATACAGTTAAATGTTGATTGTTATTAAAACTATCATTAATATTAACACTATTCACTCATCTCCCTTTCCTATCTTCTTTATTTTCATTAACTTTACTACTTTTATTGTTAACTCAGTTAAACTTTGTCTAAAGTAATGTGTATTGCATGAGCTGTTGTATTACAGGAAATGAGTGAATTTAACTCTTTAGAATAGGACATTTCTATTACATTTGTGTAAAGAAAGCTGATGACTGTGCAGACCACTACCTTTTGATTTATTTCTTAGGATTCCCAGCAAACTTTACTTGAATTACTCTTTTCAGATGTATTTTATATTTTTAGTATTATGTAAAAGCACATAGAAACTAACTTCTGGAAGCCGAAGTTTCTATTTCATTGCAGTTTGCAATTAAAATTTTGGATCTTGTCAAATATTGATTATTAAGTTTAAAAATTCGGCTTTTTGAATCTTTATTTATTGATCATTTTATTTGACAATTATTTTGAAAAATCAAAATTTAAAAATCTCATAACTTAGCCAAAAAATCCTTAATTTCAAAGCTTTTCTAGGTTAGTTCTTATCAGGTTAATTAATTTAAGATTTAAAAAAATTGATATTTTTATAAATTTTTGAAAATTTTATCGATGTAACCCCTTATAAAATTTTGATATTTTTAAAAATTTCGAAAATATAATTTCCTGGCTTGAGCAACTCGCCAGTTAATTCTGATCAAGACTTATAGGGTCGAAAATGATCCTTTCAATGTATTTCAAGCTTCTAACTAAAATTAGAATACCCTGCAAGGCTATAATTTTTTAAAAATATAGTTTTCTTTTCCAGAATTAGAAACTTTTTAAAAGCGGTTTTATTTTGGAATGCATTGTTTATAGTTTTTATTTTCAATAAATGAATAAGCGTATTTTTGGATCAATCGTTTGCACATCAAGCTGGATGGTTCCTAACCGGAACGCCTCTGCCTCTGCCTCTGATTCTGGACCCTCCTTCTGGCAGCCCTCCTCCTCCTGCGGGCAGCTGCACGTCTCCTCCTTCGAGCCGCCGCCCTCCTCCTGGCACGCCTCCTGGCCGCAGCGTTGGAGGTCGTTGAGCTGCTTGATCCCGAGGATGAGGCGCTATCGGTTGGGGTAGCCGGAGTAGCGCCGGTGGCGGTGTTAGCGGCAGTGGTAGCACCAGCGGCTGGACCTGCTGTCGTGACGGGAGTGGCTGCAGTGGTTGGCCCCGCGGTAGTGTTTCCCGCCTCTGCGACGCATTCAGCATCCGAAGCGTTGGCGGTGTCGGTGCAGTCGACGCATCCGGTGACTGTGGGATCAGCGGTACAGGTCACCGCCTCGCTGCTCCTCAGGAGACAGGCTGCGATGAGGAGGAGTCCACTAATGATGCTTATGACTCTCATGGCTAGATTGATGATGCTATCGGCAATGGGTTCGGTCTTTTATAGTGCTCCCTCTGGGTTGGAAAGATGGGTAGCTCAAGTTTACCCAACTGCTGGCAACGGTATAACTATTTGCCTATGACCATTGTTTAACAAGAATTTGGCTTAGAAAGTCGCTCCCGAAGATGGCTGCAATTGTTCGTCTTTCAACTCGGAGTTGTTGATCGGCGGTATTGACAGGTGTTACGATATTATTATAAGCATATTATAAGTAGTACTTCATCCAGATATACTAGTTCAAGCCATGCACAAATTATGGGTAAATATACGCAGCTGTTTTATTTCACGAATTTTGGTTTATTTGTCGCGCTTATTTGCAGAGAATTTACTGCGATGGGCTTGGAGTGAGGTAGGCCACACGTGCGGGGACTTTGTGAACTTTGAACATGTGTTTTAAACTAGTTCAGATTATGTTTATTTTTAAAAAGTTTAACAATAGGTATTGTAGTTTCAAAACCTTTTAAATTCAGCCTAAAAGTGTGCTGTTAAAACCCGACCTTATATGCTTCCTTTTGTCTGCTTTCAGGCAGAACTTGGGTACATTACTCGTAGTAGATACTTTCAAATTTTAAATTAAATTTTACCCAAAAAAAACTCTATATATTTTGGAATGCAATTAATCAGAGTTTACTGAATTAAGTATACAAAGATATTAAAAACTCCTTGTATTTTGGTTTAGCTTTGGGAAGAGTGGAGACCAAAATGTCCCGTGTTCCTTAGCCGGATCGCTGATTTTGTCTTCTCTGGCGCTTCCTTTCAGCTTGTCTCATTTTCCTCTTCAGCTTTGCCTTCCTTATTTTGGCCAGGAAAGCCTTTCTCCTTTCTTTTCTGGCCTCCAATCGTGCATCCCTTGTTCCTGTCGAATCACTGGACAGACTACTCTCAGATATGGTGGATGGTGTGACTGAAGCTACAGTGGAGCTAGAGCTTGAACTTGAACTTGAAACACTCGCCGAGGTGGATGAGGACGGATCTGCGACTGCGGTAGAGGACGTGGGAGTTGGGTCGGTGGCATCCGGTGACGATCCATCCGTCCAGGACACAAGTGCCAGCAGTAGCCAGCTCCAAAGGAACACAGCTCTCATCGTCAGAAGAATGCGTTTCAATACAGTGATCCCCAATTTCACATTCAACTCTTTTTATAGCTCCAAGACCTCTGTTTGCACTCAAAACCATGTCTAATTAGTCATTAATTTATGCAGCTTGCCTTTTTGTTAGACACATAATGCACTTTATTTGTTATTTGCTGAAAATTTCTTTTTTTCACCAGACTCTACAGCAAATAAATTTAATTTCTTGAATTCGCATTTGAGTTAAAAATACAAACAGTTTGAGTGCTTTTTGCGTATATTAATAATGGCTAGCTTCGCGTGAGAGTTTAGTCCATTTTGATGACTGCTAATGAATGCTGTGTTTTTTTGTTACTGTTGTTGTTTTTATAATTATAATGACGTCACATTTTAAACCGAAGCGAAGCGAGAACAATGAGCCAGGCGAGGGAGTATACTTGATATTCATATTTTCACAGCTTTAATATACATATACATATATTTTAAAACCACTGACCAGCCCCGGCTTTGCCTTAGCTCAGTTTGCGCCGATCAACGATCAGACTGAGCCATGGCTTTATCCAGCTCTCTGCTGCTATTTCTCGGATTTATTTCAATAGCTGAAATAGCAGTGAGTTTTTAATTAAATTATCTGTGAATTTTGACTAATTTATTGGTTTTTTGTCAGTTTTCCATATGTGTACCTATAAATCATTGCATTGAAGATGTGAGTATAGATAACCGTAAATATTTAAGCATAATTAATGGATTTATTGGTTATTGTATAAGAACAAATTACTTCTTTTTTTTCCTCTTTTGCTATCTTTTTGTTATTCGAATAATTCAAAATTAACCTAACATTTGCCTAATCTTACAGATGGAGGACCTCGACGCCCAGGAGCGATTCGAATATGTCGTAGATAAATATAAGAAGGCGAATATCAACATTGACGGCAAGCCGCTTGGGTAAGTTATGGTTAGTTTTCGACTAACTCGATTTTTATTCACATTTTCATTTTTTCCCGACGACAGATTGCACGGCAAGGTGGTTTCGAATGACCTGGAGGACGAGATACATATAGTCTTCCATTACGTGGACAACACGTTGCATGACGTCATCCAGACCTGTACGGTTGTGATATCTGATAAACCCAACGAGTGTGAGAGTATTCGCACCTACTGTTCTGGCTTCCTAAGACGCCCGCCACGCCCATTGCTAGAGCTCAAGCCCCTTATTGTCTGCAAGGATAAAGTCCAGGTGGCGAAGGAAGAACCAGAGCTGGGAACGGAACCGGAAGTAGAAGCGGTACCGGAAGCAGACCCCATTACTGGAGAGCCAACGGAGGCGGATACTACAAAGGCACCCGATGATGACAAAGCTCCCTCGTCGAAATTCAGGATGTTTAACTGATTAGGATGTGTCACTGCATTTATTCACAGCTAAAGCTAATATCTTTACAAGTAAATAAATAAAACTAAGAACTTTGCAGTAAGCCTTAAAAACCTTTATTTGATTTCAGTATTTCAGTCGATTAATACCCAAATCAATGATCATTTATCACCATTTTTATACACTCTCATATATAAAATAAAATATTTTGTCAGTTATCTGTGGTGTTATTGAATTTACTTACATACTTAAAAAATACTTTGTGTATAGTTTAAAAATTCCAGTAACTATTTAAATAATACAAATAAAATATCAATATTATTTTTATATTTATTTTCAAATTGTATAATTATATCAAAATTGCGTATACGACTAGTGGGTCAACGTTCCTTATTATATGCTCTAACTTTCATATAAACAAATAGGAAACTAACTTCGGGGAGACGAAGCTTATACATTCTTTAAATTTGCAATTTAAATATAGGATCGAATCGATATTCGAATATATATAAGCTTCAAATATTTACATTCCAATTTAAAATGACAATTTTTTCGAAAAATCAAAATTTAAAAATCTTATAACTTTGCCAAAAAAGCATTAATTTCAATTCGGAGAGCTTTCCTATATTAGTTTTTATTTGGTTAATAAAACTGCATACTCAATAAAAAATTAAAATATATTTATATTCGTACAAATTTTTGAACATTTTTACCCTTGTCGTCTTTTGATGCTAATACAACCTCGATTTGTTTTAAATTAAGCCCAAGAGTATACTTGCTCTAATTAAGTTCATACTAACATTTCCCCTTGGCCGTTCAATGTCACGGCTTCCCAGCGATTGAGTTAGGAAGCTATGGCAGCAACAACTGTGCGGCTTTTAGCTCAACAACTGACGGCCAACAGACTAAACCTGGACAAGTCCGGCGCTTGCGCCGAGCCCCGAGTGCACAGTGGTCAATGGAAATATGTACCAATAAATAAATTAAATAAAGGTCAAACAAGGTAAAACAGAATTAATTTAATAATGTATTGTATACGTGGATATTATTGAATAGTCTGAATGCCAAAATATATTTAGTTTCTAGTAAATTTCTAAGCTCATTATTATTATTAATTATAATAATCATTTTAAATTGGTCTTCTTATTATTTCAATTTAGTATAAATTAATAAGAATCACTGTGTACTCCGCCGAAATGCGTGTGGGAAGTCTCTCTCCGAAAGTCTGCCATTGTGAGAGCGGGAGCGAGCAAAGCTTGCGCCAAATAACAGTAAACAAAGCCCAGCTGCTGCTGCCGGCGTCGCTGATGGCGTCGCAGCTCATATCCGCTGCGACGGTAACTCGTGGCCTGAACCAGAACCAAAAACTCAGTTGTTAACTGGGCGCCAAGGCGAACTGGAGCAGCGAAATCCAAAGCGCGGAGCCCAAAAATATACCTCTGCAGCCCCCAAGACAACGGTGAAGCGTGCTGCCAGAGATAGAGAGAGAAAGCACAGAGAGAGAGAGCGTGGAGAGAGCACCAAAAGAGAGCACCGAAAGCGTGGCGTTCTTCAATAGATTTGCCATTTCCCGCACAGAATTATCTCCCTGTGCTCAGTGCTAAAGTTGTCGTCGTCGCGCTGCGAAGCTCGTGTGGGCAAGGCAAGGCCGCCGTTCATCGAGATACGCCCACCCACCGCCGCCGTCGCCATTGCCGCCCGCTGGCGCCCCCATGGCCACGCCTCCCGCCCAGCAGCTGTAAGAGAGTGAAGTGCGTGCCGCCGGTTGTAAAAATCTCGCAGGACATCGCTAGTCCCGCAATATATACAAGTTTTGTCTATACTTTTTGCATAATACGCCACAAAATCGAACGGGAAAAACGAAACAGTTAAGTGGCGCGTAAATATTGCGGTAAATTTCGAGTATTTCCAGTGTCAACCCAAGCAACTTACCTTTGTTGTAATTGTTACAATTCACAATCCAAATCCAAAACCAACACGAAAACCCATTCCTCCCCTCCGAAAGAGTCCCAAGTCTCCCTAGTCCGCACCCCGCGTGTATCAGCGAAGCGCCAGCGCGTGTTATCAGCAAACGAAACGCGACAAAAACACAGAACCCGCAAAAACACAAAAAGCTAAAATGAAATAGAAGTAACAGAAAAGTAAAGAAAAAAAAGATCCAAATACAAATGAAACCGAATGAAAAGAAATGCTGTGAATGTGAATGCATTTGTGTTTAGGTGAGTAGTTTTACTATTGTGTCCGTGTTTAAGCAGAGAAAAAAAAATAGGTATTAAAGAAGCTAGAGAATAAAGTATTCAAAGTAATATATATTTGGCATTTTTTAAAAAGAATATAGGAACATTCTTGTGCCTTTTGCAAGTTAAAATCAATTTAAAGCCCTTTAAATATTATTAAAATAAATTTCTCCTTAGTTACCTTATAAATATTGTAATCCGGGATATTAACTCTATAAATTCAAACGAATTAAATTCGTTGAACGTTTTGAGATAATAATTTATATATAATACCCAATATTCCCCTTAAAATATTATATTTATAAAAATATCAACTTCTTGGGTTGTGCTCTGTAATATCTTTAGATTCCAAACACATTTTCATAAATCATCACATTGTCTCCTGTAAATTGATTTATTTCGTATAATTTAAAAAGATTATAAAGAAATATGAATTGATATATAAAATATCCTTTACGTTTCGTATTTAAATGTACATTTTACCTCAAAATATGTCTGCATAATAAAATTAACATAAACACTTTATGTTAGAAAAGTTTCTTAAACCTAAAACACCATAATTCATTAGCTATTCCCTCAGTGCAGGGCTTCAAGTGTATATGTGTGCCTCCAGCTCAGCTGAGTGCTGAGTAAACAAACCAACCAAAGCCAAACAGAGACCCAAACACAAATACTACCGCACCGCAAACACACACATACAAACACACACACACAAAACACACTGGAGCACTCACACAATTATTAGCGTTACCCCAAAATCCCCCAGAAATGTGCGAATTATAAAATATTTTACCATTGAATGTCATACGTATTAGTTGTTGGAGGTGGGGAACATGGTACTATAGAAGCTATACTTTTTAGCAACTTTTGAGTACACGACGGAAGCTGAGATCAGCTAGGGTATACTCGATTTCTGAATAGACTAAATTCCGTTAAATTTACATTAATAATATAATTATGAGGACAAAAACGAAAGGTTAAAGGCAGCATGGTATAAATAAATAAATAATGGAATACAGATTAATGAAATACATATGGGATTTGTAATAATGGAAGAATATAGAAGAATATAAATTTTAAGATATAAACCTATAGTAAAAAGCTACATTTAATTCATAGGGATACCATTGCTAACTCATTTTGGAAATTATAAATTTTTTAAGAACATTTCGATATAATTTATAAATAAATCAAACAAATATTGATTGTATATCCTATCTAATTACAAATTTCGGGCTACTGCTTAATAGTTTAGATATTAGTTTCGAGTTTTCTTTCCAAGTTTTCTTAACTATATTATTTACTCGGTATCTTGGGGTCGTTACATTACATTAAAACTCAATTCTTAGCTGGATCGCCCCATGGGGTCCCTAAAAAAAAACTTTCCTGTGACGTGCGATGCCTAACGCAAATTATTTGAGAGCTGTTTCAGCGCATTTTAGCCGCTTTCCACGATTTTCTCGATTTTCTTGCCTTTCTCGCGCGCAATTTTCTTCTCGGCCGCCCTTTTGGAGACCCGCCAAAGTGTCTGTGAAATCCATTAAGTTTTGTTTTCGTCTTATATATTTTTTTTGCTGTATTTTTTATGAACAACATTGACTTTGTCAACGGTTCGTTCCCCGACATCCCCTTTTCCCCTGACTCCTGGATCCGCCACGCACTTTTCCGAAACAGCAACTGTCTGAGCAAGTCTTTTATTTTATTTTAATGCCCTCACTTTGGCCACTCCACCGACAGCTCAGCTCAGCTTCCCTTCAGGGGGAGATTTTTGAAAAAAAAGACAAAATGTTGTCAAATTTATTGACTCACTTTTGTTGGTGCTGTTGCCATTGTATTATCCGGCTTTATCCGGCCGCTGACGTCTCTTTGTTGGCCAAATTCGTCTCACCGAACGAACGTGACCGCCGCCGAGACAAGTTATTTCAAATTGAACAGGAGGCTTTAAGGGTCATAAACTCGGCTCTTGACAACTTTGGAGAACTCCAATTAGGTTAATTATCGACCTGGCATAGTGACATGTGGGTGTGTTTTCAGGAGTTCAGTCTTGAGATTACCTTTTCGATAATGTGGAGGCTATTTAGGTTTTATTATAATCGAGATAATGTTCACGGGCTTTCATAATTACCTGAGAATTGTTCAGAAAATATAAAGAATGCCTTTTTTGTTACTAAAAGATAAAATGTTTATATATTTATATTTTTAATTAAATTCAGTAGATTTAAGTATTACTAATAAGTTATTTGTAATAATTTGTATATTTTTGTGTATTACTGTTAATGAGAGGTGTAAAAAACCAGTAAAGCACCAAAAACAATTGAAAGAAAGCATCAATATTAAATAGTTAAAATTGTTATAAAAACAAAACATATTTTTTGCTTAAACATAAAGTAACAGAGTATTTGATTAACGATTTCTGGTATACAAATAAATAATATTTATAGGATTAATGTAAGCCTTAAAACATTATTCAAGCCCTAGCATTTTATCTTATGAGCTTTATTCAATTACTTAAATATAAAACTTAAGAAAACCACAAGATTATGCCAAAGCAACTACCAATTTCTCTGTTAGCTTTTTCTTCTATTGGAAAATAATAAGATTTCCACGTTTATCCTCCCAAATAACCAAGTTCGATTTATTTTACATTTGGCTTTTGGCAACCCTCGTTCCGAGATTATTAGGGATCCCGTCGTGGCTAAACTGTATTAGCTAAATGCTCGTAGAGGACCCTAAGTAAATGTGAATGAAGGACCCCACTAAAAGCATTCAAAGTGCTGCCACCACACCTGTCTTTAGTTTTCCGGCTCGCAATCTCGTGGGATTCCCCCAGCGCTTTGTTGTTGTGTTTTCTGTGTGTTTGCATTTTTAGGGTCCCTTTTTGGAGGATAAGGTTAAGGTCGCGCGGATTTATACTATAGTATATATGATGAGGTCCCGATTTTTCGGAGGCCGTGCATATAAATAGCCCTCGTTCTCACCGATTATCCTTCGCATGCAATTTTCCTCGGCGTTTGTTTGCTCTTCCCTACTTTGTTCTGTTTTCTTCCTCTCTCTCTGGTTTCTTCTTCTTTGTGGGGCCCGGCACGTGCCTGGGCAGCGAGAAAATGCGGGGAAAAGTGGGCTGGGGGAATGGAGAGTTTTCCATATATTCGACCATCCGAATGTCCCACACTTTGCTTTTGGCCATGTTTATGGCGTCTGCCGCTGACTGACGTTCATTGGCTTTTGTGCGGATATTTGTTTTTGTTATTGTTCCTCGTGTCGTCCTTCGTATCCTGCGTGCTCCTTGCTCCGTCCGCCATCATTGGCCATAAAACGGTGTCTCCGAGCACATTTCGCTGGTCGCGTCGGCATCCGCGGCTGCGGGTTTAGCCTTGTCCCAATCCTGCATACTCCTTCGGCCATATCCTTCTGAGCCCGGCAACCTTTGGCCCATTTTCCCCAAGTTTATTTTGTTCCACAAATTCTTTGGCATTCTTTCCATTTTATCCTGCTCTCGGTGGCCGCTTTTCTCTTCCACTTTCTTCTTCCTCGCCCAACTTCATTTCATCAGCAATTCATTTATTTAAACGCCGCGCGCCTTGGAGAAATTCATTTTTGTTTATTGATTCATTTGGCGGGAGAAACGAAGGCAGAGGGAAGTCCTAGGAAATGGCAAAAAGGACACATGCCCGCAGCCAGAACTGACACTAATTCGATTTGTTGCTTTCAAAATTAGGTCCAGTTATAAATCCAAGTCTACTTAATTACATTTGGCCGCTCACTTGGGACAATTTATGCCTCACAAGTCCAATTATGATGCCTCTTGTTAAATTGAGCAGAAGAAGTGGATGCCATAAAAGTCTTTTAATAAATTGGAGATGTATATGTCATAAAATCTATTTCAGACTTTCTCAGAATTGTAGATATGTGATACTGAGACGTAAGTTAGATTATGTATAATAAATCTTTGAATATATTAAATGTATAGTAAATAATTAAATGTGTACTATTCTTAACTTTCCAACTTTAAATTTATGCCCACATCTAAAATAATTCTCATCAATTTCCTTTGCAGATGAAAACCTCCCACAACTTGCAGACAAGAAGAAATTGGTAAGTCACATTACGTATACGCAGCGTAGACCTTTCAAATCGTTTACAAACTAAGTAAACAAGTTGGAAAGAAAAAAAAGATAAAGTATAGACCAAGATCTATTTATACCTGCCACGGCAAATGATAGTTGAAAACTTTAGACACAGCTGTGAATTGTTGCAAAATACTATTCGTTATCGAAGACGGATGACACGAGCACGTCCCCGATTCGTTTTTATTTTTATAAATTTTATTTTAAAGTTTTTGTTTTTTGTTTCTTTTGGAAATCAACCTGCACGTTGGCTAGAAATCTGGTTTCGCTGCAGCTGTCATCAGACTTTCAGCTGCCTTTTCCAGAAGGAAGCGCCACCGTTGATGATGGGAAGGAAAAAAAACAAGAACCTTCATAGAACGAAATTGGGGGGAAAACTTCATCGTTAGCCATTTTGTGCGGCGCTTATCCGTCTTAGCCACTTTGAATCGCGCTTCTGCTGCCACTCGGTGCTATTTTTTTGCAAAGTTTTTGGCCACGTTTACTTGGCCCGTTCCTCTGGTTCCTTAGCGGCTGCGGCTTTTTGCCGGAAATAACACACGAAGCCAGTAAAGATAAAAGGGTGTGTGTATGTGCAGAGCAAAACAAAAAATACATAGAGAAAGTTTTTTAATTCAAGAATTTAATTTATTTTTTGACATATCACAAATTGGGAAAGCACCCTAAAGTGTGGGTCGATAATAAGTATTTGTTCTTATTCTTTTATTTATATATTGTTTTTTATAATTTTTGTAGTTTATATTTATCTACAAAGCATGTTGGGCGTACAATATAATTATATATTTAGACCAACTTGAAAAACACTACGAATTTGTACCCATACATTTTTAGGCACTCCTCTCAGTAGTAGAATATTTTTGTTGATTTTTTTGTGACTTGCCTAAATGGCATTTCAAATTATTTCTTCCAGTGCATCTTGTCTGTGGGCTTCGAGCTCGGGTTTTTGCCCGCTCCCATGGCGAAAATTATTGTCTGAGGTTCTGTCGCTGTCCCTACCAACGCATAAATTTGACTGTCCCACATGTCCCGTCTTTGCCATTCGCCTTTTGCCTTTCGTCCCTGTTTTTTTTTCCTCTTCAGTTTTTCTCGTCCTTTATCCTTTTTTCCGTCTTTAGCCTATGTACTCGCATATCCCGTTACCGCTCTTTTGTATTTTTCCCCCATTGTTTTTCCAGCTATTGTTGGGTAGCTGCCTTTCAGTTTTTGCAATGCTTTCTTATTCTATTTTTAGCACAACACTTTTATTTTGGTTGATAATTCTCTTTTTGGTATTTGGGGAGGTGGACATACGACCGTTGTGGTTGTGGGCCAAACTGGAATTGTTTACAAAATACGAATTTCCAATTAAAAGCTTACGGCTTTGCTTTGCTCTCTAGTAACCGATGGTATCGATTATATAATAATAAACTGGCCTGGCCACGTGGCGCCTGAACTTGCCACGTAATTACACTTTCATGTCGAAACGAGTGCCACAGTCGCGCCCTGAAGGTAATTACAAATAATTTTAATAACATAGATTACGCATACGCAGCGTGTGACACTCGACAGTGAGTGAAATATATAGGTCATGGCACCGATAAACCACGTGATTAGATTTGGTTGAAGTTTTAATTAATTTGGATTAATTGGGTATAGATTTGATGGTATTATAAATCATCGAGAGAGAATTTAATTTTTGCCTACAATGATAAGGCTTAAAATGCATTTCATTGACTAAAAATTGAATACAGCTTGTTTTCGTAATTCAAAAACTTGTTTAAAGCCAACCGAACCAGGCAATTGAATTTGATTTAGTATTCCAAAACAAATGTTGTGTATTTCAATTTATGAATGCACTTTATCGAAATTCAAACGGTTGCTTTATGATTATACTATACATAAAAAGGTAATTTTACTCGTTTTTGGCCATACCATTATTTTAAAATATGCAAAATAAGCAAATAACCGCAGAAAATACTATATATTTTTGGCAAATAGTAAATATAAGTCAAACCATTTTGGTTTCGATAAATAAAGGTATACATTTTATAGTTTTCATAGCAAACTATAATTAATGGAAAGTTTTAATTGGCAATTTCTAAAGCTTAAATATCCTTCCACTACGACTAGTTATCATAAAAATAGAGACACTGACTTATACACCTTAATGCCAAAATATTATATATTCTCATGCCCAAAACATTGAGCAAACCATCCTGTTTAAGCCGCTGGAAAGACAGGTTTTAATTAAACTGAGAGTTGAGTTAATCTTGGAAGTGAAATTGTTCACTTTGATGCCCACTCACACACACACTCGTTCGAGCAGAGACTCAATTACTTAGCCTGACTTTTGAGGGCCTTCTAGAGCTGCCAAATGGTTAGCTCCCGGTTTTTGGGGAACGCCCACACAGGACTCGGGAGGAGGACAAATGGAGCAGGAGCACCCAGTGACCGAGCAGCGTCGGCATAATTAAATTATTCCACAACAATTGCCGCTGGAACAAGAGTCGCTCGTTGAGTTAATTTGCGACAAGTCGAGGTGGCGATGCCGACGATTTTCACCAAGTTTTTCACTGCCCGTTGGTCTGACTGTTGTTGGTCATTTGCCACAGGCCGAGTGGGCGCGGTCTGAACTTTCCGCAGAAAAAGGATTAATTAGGATTAAAAGTGTGTCGAGTGGCCGACAAAAGCCCAGAACGGTTAGCCCTCTCAACTACAAAGAGACCAGTGCTTGTGGTGGCCTCAAAAAAGCGGAAAATTCTTGAGTAAGAGCTGTCAGTTTAACCGTTTTATGGTCTGAGAGTTTTTCATTATATATGTCGGGAAATTACTATTAAAGATTTGCTTTATATTCCCTTGCAGGGTCTTATAATTTAAGTCAAAAGCTCGAAACACAGTGAAGGAGTATTTTTCGACCCTATATTCATTTTGAAATATATTCTTGATCAGGATCAAAAACCGAATCGATCTAGCCATCTTCCTCCTAAATATAGTTTTTTCCAAATTTTTAAAAGTCTATAAGAGGTTAAAATTGTCAAAATTTGATAACGAATTGATTTTTTTAAATATTAAAACTTGGTATGCAGATTTGATAACCTGTTAAAAACTAGTATCGGATAACTTTCCGAACTAAAATTAATGAATTTTTGGCTAAGTTATGGAATTTTTAATCTTTGATTTGTATATAAAAATATAAGAAATATCGACTCAAAGAATGGTATAATAATTTCAGTCAGAAGTTTGTAACGATGTGAAGGAGTCATTTCCGACTAAACAAGCCATATATATTCTTGATCAGGATACAAAGATTATTGTTTTAAAAAAAAAGATAAGGGGTTACATCGTTAAAATTGTCAAAAATTGACAAAAAAGTTGAATTTTTTAATTCTTAAAACTGAGAATGAAGATTTGTTAACCGATTAAAAACTAGCATAGAATAGCTTTCCGAGTCAAAATTTATTAATTTTTGGCTAAATTATGATGATTTTCATTTCCCCGAAGTTAGCTTTCTTTTTTGCTTCTTAATCGATGTGCCTGGTTTTTCTCCAAATGGTTTCCTGGCATCACTGCTCTGGGGGAAAATAAGGAAAAGTACAAAAAATAAAAGTGGCTCAAAGATGCTTTCCGACGGATGGCGGTTGGTAATCGTGCGGCATAAATAAGTCAACCAGAGTTGGCCAACAACTTCAACTTGGCTGCCCAATGATGACGATGATGATGATGATGATTGCTCGTTTCGTGCATTTCGCATTTAATTAACATAATTCAATTTAATTCTTGATTCCGTGTGACGCCGCCGGATTGTGTTTCACTCTTGCATTTAAATGAATTTAACATAAATTACAATTTATTACACAGGCTTGATTACGTTTTGCTTTGGCTTGTTGATACCACCACTGGCCGTGTACGATAATAAATTGAATGCCAATTCGAAAATTGGCTTAACTCAATCCAAACGCAGCACAACCCGTTCTCGATACCTCAGTGCTAACCGAATTCAATTAGAACTAACAGCATTTGTTATGGGAACGGCTAGCGTGTTAAAGTTCTTGACCTGGCTGTGTCTCTGTGTCAAAAAATTTCGAGTGCATGTCAAAGCTGAAATTGAAATTGGAATCAATTGTGTTTCGCTGAATAGCACTGGAATTATTCAATAGCAATAAATAAATGAGTTAAGCTGTCAAATCCACATTGCCATCTGTACTTTCCCACAACCAAGTATTGATCCCTTTTAAGACTAGAGGGGATATAGTATTTGTCACAAAACTGCGTCTCTACTAATCTAATGAAATCATTTTCATTTTCATTTTGCTGACATTAAAGTTTTTAAAGCCCTTCGGAACCCTTTTTGCTCCCTCGACCTTTTTGGCCAGAACTGCCTGCGGGCACTGTAAACTGCCAGTGATATTAGTTAATGCCCTTCTGCGGTCGTCCATGCGGAATTGTTATTATTTAAATGGCCTATTCATTCGGGTCCCTCTTTCTTTTTTTTTTTTTTGTGAATGCAGGGTACAGAGGGTGTTCTCTCATTCTCAGAGAAAACTAATGAAATACTCTATTATTAAATAATATATAATATATGTTTGGGGTATTATGAATATAATGTTTTCATGGGAAAATAGTTATTAAGTATTGATTTATAATTTGCATTACTTCTTCCACTGCATACAAATTATTTTCATATATTTTTTATGATTTTCTTTAACTCAGAATTTAATCAAATGAAAAAGAAAAATAAAAATTTAAATGCTGTTTACTTATTTGTCCCAGTCCAAAAGTTCTTTAAAACTATAGAGTATCAAATCTATTCAACCGGCTCGTTTTGGCCAAACTGCAGAACGCATTTGTTTGGCCAACAAACTGAGTGGAAAAAACTTTTAACTAAAACGAGAGGCGGACCAAAGTATACGCAAACATGTTAACCAGCACACACACAGCACACACACCCTACACACACCGCAGACACACACGTTTTCAGAGAGTGAGAGA